TATGTTTTTTATCGCTCTCTTCCCGGTCCTGCGTGGAAAATACAGATCCATACATTTTTTATCTTAATTTTGGTAAAAAGACATAATAATCCAGATATTCTGACCTTCTGTGTTCGTCCATCGTACCGTCGTCCGTCTTGTAGAATCACGGTGGCGCCACCTAGCTGAATTTAATTTTGCAACATATTCTATTTTCCCACGGGAATGAGATGTTTTTCCGCGGAAAAAAGTAACCTATGTCACTCTACAGCCACCGAACTATCCCCATACAAAAAATCATGCCATGCCGACGCTCTGTTGCGACGTGAAATAAGGACAAACAAACAAACAAACACACTTTCGCATTTATAATATTAGTATGGATTGAAAATAAAGTTTTATCTTTTGAATAAGTACGTACTTATTTGGTGTCGTTATCACTCGAATCTTTATATGTGTTATAAATTAATGATTTTTGTTGTTAAATGAATAAATAAAGTACTTTATAACAATAGATGATTTTTCTTTTACAGCGATCTTTTACATAACTTTTTAATAGTTCATAAATACATAATATATTATATCAATCATTATAAAAAATTGTAGTGTTATGCTACTTACATACCATTTTACACTATTTTGAATTTATTTTTCCATTTTGTTTTTGATTTTCTGCATTAGCCTCAAAACTGGATATTTTGCATCACTTTTATTTTCATAGGATCCTGTAACGTTTTTAAACCATAAGAACACAATAACAAATCATTTTCACTTCGTATTTTCACGTTATCAGCACTTTTTAAATCGGTGTCAATGGAGTCTACCTTTTTCGATCATTTATTTAGTTCTCCGTAACTCTGCAATTTCGGGCTTCGTGCGCACTGTTGCGCTACCTTTTTTCCTATATAAATAATATCTCATTTTTCACTTAAATCTTGCCGTTTCTCTATTACGAGCCTAAAACCAAAATTTGACATGTTTTGACATCGTTGTTTATCTGGTTGTCATGGCAATTTTTATTCAAATATCGTTACCGGCCTGATGTTTTTACTTCAAAAATACTCTTTTCTTCTTGGCCATTTACAAAAATTTGCTTTTAATTTAAATAATTTCAAATAATTTCTCGTTCTTATCCCAGATCCGTCAAAAAGTATAAAAGCCAAAGAATCGGCCAATAGAGGTCCTCACTTCAGCTTTGATACGAGAAGCACCTCTTAAAGGCTTTATCCGCACTGCCTCGGGATCTTGCAAGCCTTCTCCTGAAGTCGTCGCCTAGCCACGCCTACGCCTCCACCTATTAGTGCCCGCGCTATCTTCGGCCGCTGAGCGTGCTTGTCTCAAGCGCTGCGTGTTCCTACTCCAGACGCTGCGTGTCTACTCCGGACGCTGTGTGTGTCTACTCCGGACGTTGTGTTTGCCTACTTCAAGCGCCACGTGTACCTACTCCAGACGCTGCGTGTCTACTCCGGGTGCTGCGTGTATCTGCTCCGGGCGTTGCGTGTGCCTACTCCAAGCGCTGCGTGTACCTTCTCCAGACGCTGCATGTGCTTTCTCCAGATTCTGCGTGTACCTAGAGCAGGCGCTGTGCACCTATCATAGGCATAGCCTGTGCATACTTCGTTGCAGTATCTTTATTTTTGTTATTTTTTTTAATAATATTGTAAATCACTATCATCATTACAGCCCATCATCACCTTCATACCTTTTTTTTATAAAAGAAACTGTAAATCTTTTCAAATTTTTAAATAATTTATTTTATTTTTGGTTGTTTTGTTGTAGTTAGGTTAGGTTATTTAGTTTTTAATTGTCGCTTCACGACAATTTGGCGCCCGACGTAAAAGTTCTTCTTTTCTTCACCTTAGCTACGCCTTATCAATTTCCTTTTGATTGAATTGCTTTCTCTTTCGTTCTTAACTCTTTATTTACTCATCCTTATCATATCTTCCAAATTCTAAAACAAAACTTCATCTAGTTTTTCAACTTATCTGGATTATATTTAGACCTACATATAACACTTACATTCATCACCTTAATATTTTTATTCTAGAGAACTTAAAGAGGTACTATCTTCCAAATTCTAAAACAAAACTTCATCTAGTTTTTCAACTTATCTGGACTATATTTAGACCTACATATAACACTTCACTTCATTCATCACTTTAATATTTTTATTCTAGATAACTTAAAGAGGTACAATTTTTAATTAAATTTTTATTTTTTAAACTTAACTTTGCACTTAAAACAATGAAAAGGGTTATTAAGTACGAATTCCTTAACAAGGTCGAACTCGAATACGAAGTGAAGATTAGATGTGAGAAACCAGCTAATACTGTTTTGCATGACACTACATTTGTATATATGTTTGTATATTTGTATATATGTTTGTATATATGTATAATTATTACCTGATTAATTTCTTTAACGTTATCTTCACTCAGGAGCGGATTACAACTCCTTAAATAAGCCTGAATGTACTTTTAGTGATGTTGCTCATCTCTGGCTTTGAGCCCTACCGCTCTGGCCGTTCTTAATCTTTACTTAAGTCATAGCGACTAAAGCTTGCTTAAGATTAATTTCTTTAACTTTATCTTCACTCAGGAGCGGATGACAACTCCTTAAATAAGCCTGGATGTCCTTTCGAATTTTTTTTTCCACGCAGGAGCGGATGACAACTCCTTAAATAAGCCTGAATGTCCTTTCGAAAACACACTTTTAGAGTGGTAGTCATTGAATGTGAACTCCACCCTTACCTGAATGCAGATGATGAATGTAAGAGATGGTATATCTGATTTTGCCTGGTGATGTCTGTTACTGCAAAGCTGTGTTTTTATGGTTTGTTTTAGAATGTACATATCAAAATTTTTGCTGAGTCAAAAATTTTCCAGGGTCGGGGGGAAAATGTAGTGTTATGCTACTTACATACCATTTTACACTATTTTGAATTTATTTTTCCATTTTGTTTTTGATTTTCTGCATTAGCCTCAAAACTGGATATTTTGCATCACTTTTATTTTCATAGGATCCTGTAACGTTTTTAAACCATAAGAACACAATAACAAATCATTTTCACTTCGTATTTTCACGTTATCAGCACTTTTTAAATCGGTGTCAATGGAGTCTACCTTTTTCGATCATTTATTTAGTTCTCCGTAACTCTGCAATTTCGGGCTTCGTGCGCACTGTTGCGCTACCTTTTTTTCCTATATAAATAATATCTCATTTTTCACTTAAATCTTGCCGTTTCTCTATTACGAGCCTAAAACCAAAATTTGACATGTTTTGACATCGTTGTTTATCTGGTTGTCATGGCAATTTTTATTCAAATATCGTTACCGGCCTGATGTTTTTACTTCAAAAATACTCTTTTCTTCTTGGCCATTTACAAAAATTTGCTTTTAATTTAAATAATTTCAAATAATTTCTCGTTCTTATCCCAGATCCGTCAAAAAGTATAAAAGCCAAAGAATCGGCCAATAGAGGTCCTCACTTCAGCTTTGATACGAGAAGCACCTCTTAAAGGCTTTATCCGCACTGCCTCGGGATCTTGCAAGCCTTCTCCTGAAGTCGTCGCCTAGCCACGCCTACGCCTCCACCTATTAGTGCCCGCGCTATCTTCGGCCGCTGAGCGTGCTTGTCTCAAGCGCTGCGTGTTCCTACTCCAGACGCTGCGTGTCTACTCCGGACGCTGTGTGTGTCTACTCCGGACGTTGTGTTTGCCTACTTCAAGCGCCACGTGTACCTACTCCAGACGCTGCGTGTCTACTCCGGGTGCTGCGTGTATCTGCTCCGGGCGTTGCGTGTGCCTACTCCAAGCGCTGCGTGTACCTTCTCCAGACGCTGCATGTGCTTTCTCCAGATTCTGCGTGTACCTAGAGCAGGCGCTGTGCACCTATCATAGGCATAGCCTGTGCATACTTCGTTGCAGTATCTTTATTTTTGTTATTTTTTTTAATAATATTGTAAATCACTATCATCATTACAGCCCATCATCACCTTCATACCTTTTTTTTATAAAAGAAACTGTAAATCTTTTCAAATTTTTAAATAATTTATTTTATTTTTGGTTGTTTTGTTGTAGTTAGGTTAGGTTATTTAGTTTTTAATTGTCGCTTTACGACAAAATAATTAAAAAAGAAAGTACTACATATAAAAGTGCCTATATATTGAAGGTTTGTAGCCCCTGGTAAAACGACCGAAAAGTCAATGTCCGTTTTTCTCAATCGATTTGGCACGAACTGCTGCCCCATGTCGTCCGAGGCTTTCGTAACATGTGCCAGAGAGCAGATGAAACAGGACATGGGCAGCACCATCTTCTTGATAACAACTCAAAATAATAAAAACTGCGGTTGCCAGCCCGCCTGCCAAACGTGGCAACTATGGCAAAATCTATCAGGAAAGTCTATATACTCAACAGTGGACTTCTTATAGGCTGTAATGGATAGATGAATAGAATGATGATGGCAGCTATCATTCATATCGCGAGTATAACTATGGACAAAAGTAGTATTATATACATTTAAATTGCAATGAAGAAAACACAAGAAAGTTGTTTTTTTTTTTATATAGAATAAAGGTGACAAACGAGCACACAGTCCGCCTGATGGTGAGTGGATGCTGTGGCCCATAGACATCTACATCTATCCTCGATTAAAAGTCAAAACGCAGGTGCGTTGTCACCCCTGAGGACTAAGACGGAATGCCTCGTAACCAGTAAAGAAGGTCTCCGGATCTCTACACTCACCATACGAAACACAGCAGTATTAAGTTGCTATTTTACGCTGGTATTCTGTGAGAGCGTGGTCCTTCCACGGTCGAGCCGACCCATTCGTGTTACCACGTATAAGTGTTTGCAAATAAACAAAAGCTGTAGTAGCTACTTACCCGCAAGTGAACTATAATTTTTTACATTTGTCACTTCTATTTCAGTTAGAGAGTCACTTTTCATCAAGCTTATACCTTTAGAAACTTTTAGAAATAATACATTTTAACTCAAATCATGAATAATATAGTGTATTACTTACCTTATCAGCAATTCCCGCTGCTTCCGGCGGCGTTAAATGGCCTTCCCATGCATCGATTAAAAACAGAATAGCGGGGGCACCGATATCCATAGCTTGACCTGAATGCAACAAAATACAAGTAAACATGAAAACATTTATAACGACAAAAGTTAGTATTGTAATCGTTTTACACAACATACCAGTGATCCAGCTGACATGTGAAGAATACGTTCTACTCAACCAATTCGCGCTGACACAATTATGTAAGCCGAGCGCATAGAGGCCTAATTGAAAAGCAGCCATGTGTAAACCCCTGTAAAAAACGGCAGTTGATTATAAAAAGTACAAAAAAATTTTTTTAAGTATGACGGCCCTTAAGAATTTACGATTTTTTTTAATATTACAATCACATAAATGTTGTATGAAAACTATTCTTAGAATTTTAGTAATAACATTTAATTCAGAGTATAAGTTGTACACAATTAACAAAATCTTTCACTTAACAATAATACTGTAGTAACGTTTTATAATTATCATTATGTTAGATGTGAAATATAATTTGGGGTAATTAGCAGTAAGCTACTTTTTTGCCTAGATTTCGTTCTGGATAGTTAACATACTCTTAAATACTTATAGCACCAAAAATAATCTGACGGCTGTTGTGTTCCATTATAAAGGGTAAGATAGCAGCTATTAGTACAGTTATATGTTATTAGCAATCCATTTTAGTCCATAAAGGTAATAATATACCTTAAATTTATTTTATTTGATCTTAATTCGATTTTTAAATATATAACAAAAAACTCTTTAACAAATAAATCACAGTTACCTTTTTGTACCAAATGATGTAATATTAGTAAAGATTATTAGACATGTAAATGTTATCAACATTATACTTTTGATCTAACCACTTACATTTGAAAATATCTGCTTCACCTTCATTAAACTAAAATGATTCCTAAAACCTTTACCTATGTGGTCCATGATGTTCCCTTGCGCATGATGTCTGTGTGAATAAACTGGTACTAGAGGTTCCACCGGCTTTGAACAGCACAGATTTAGCAAGCTCGAACATGAAGTGTGCGGAAGCTTCAGAAGGCTGATTCGGTACAGATGGGTAGAGACGTTTTCCTTTATATCTGGAGGAAGTGATTTGATCACTTATATGCATGTAACAGACGAAAAAAAAACAATAGAGCATTAAGAATATATGATATATTATATGTAATAATCTAATAGAGTACTTTGACATCAGTTGTAAAGTATAATATACTTTCTCACAAATTAGGGCTATATTGTCAACCTAATTGAAACAATTCCATTGAACATTGCAAGATTTAGTCTATATAAATAATAAAACATTTAAATGTCATTTAATGTTTTCATCAATAATGTTTCGGCAAAAACATGTCAGAATTTCCCTAATCAAAGTCTATTTAATAAATTGAATTTAAAAAAAAGGGAAGAAAACCACGGCAGTGTTAGGAGGTACGTTCATGATTCTGATGATGACATGATTAACCGTTTTAAAATTTTTCGTTTGTCTGTCTGTCTGTTCAAGCTTCGGAATGGCCGATTTTAATATTCACGGACAAATAGAGAATTTTACCCGACACTGTATTGAAATAGAAATATTCATAAGATAGAATAAATGGCATTTAATGATTATCTTAATTCTAAATAACGCCACAATAATAGATAACAGCCCACATTAATAGAGAATAATTTGTATTTAAAAATTAATATACCTACTTAGGTATACAATTATTTTCAAATATTTTGTCATTAACAGAAAAATTCTAACTAACCAAATAAGATACTACGAATAACGATATACCGTTATGAGCGGCTTTACGCTATCGGTTCTGTTCTGTTCTGTTCATGTTGACATTAAGGGCTCGATGAGTCGCCATTTCTAATCACATTCTTTATCCGTACGGACTGTACCTATAACTGTGTAGCGGCGGCATAAGAATATTCATTATACCCTATCGTCTCAAAGGTGTCTTAAGTAGCGACAAAGGGAAAATGAAACAGGAGATGGGCAACAGCATCTTCCCGATAACAACTCAAAATAATAAATAACTGCGGTTGCCAACCAGCTTGCCAAGTGTGGCAATTATGAAAAAATCCCCTCATGCAACCTACGAGGGAGGCCTGATCAGCATTGGACTTTAATAGGCTGTAATGGATGGATGGATAATCAAAATTGCTTGTTCACCGATATAAAATTACAACGAGGACATTGTTTGTACCTGGAGTCTTTAGGTCTGGTTAGCGACGGATGCTGCGCAAGTTGTGTGTGCGTTGTGTGCTGCGAATGTTGCGCATGTTGCGAATGCTGCGGAAGTTGCGAGTGCTGGGAGTGTTGCGAGTGCTGCGTCAGTTGCGTATGCTGCAAATGCTGCGGATGCTGCGCTGCAGAGTGCTGCTGCAACGCGGGCGGTGACGGCCCCGCCTCCGCGACCGCTAACCGCTCCATGTCCGTTACTAGCGGACACGATACCTGTTATTAAGTGTAAGAATTTATATTTACATTGTAGTGATAAATATTTCCTTTCATGGTAAAGCTATGCTATAGTTATATTATGGTTGTAGCACGAATCCGTCAGCTCTCCCGGGGTACCAATGCGAGAGTAAAGTAGCAGCTTAATGCTGCTGTGTTTCCTTTGGTGGTGAGTGTAAAGAACCAGACTCCTTGTACTTGTAACGACATTGTCATGCTGTTATCAATTCATTTGCATTTTGATTCTTAATTAAGGATAAATGTAGATGTCTATCAGTCTCAGCATCCATTTACCATCAGGTGAACTATGTGCTTGTTTGTTAACATTATTCTATAAAAAATAAGATACCAAATAATAGTAAAAACAGATATTTAACAACAAAGAAACAAATATTCATATATCCCTACATCCCAGCGTAGTAAGAGATGTGCGATAGTAAAGTCGTATTTCTGCTGCTGCTGGGCGGTGCTGTTAGCCGCACCACCCTCTCAAGATCGATCACTTTCCATTTTTACAGTTCGCTTACGGCAGCTGGGTCGAAGATGACCCACAGCCATAGCACCTAGGGCTGTATATTTTATTGTGGTCGCGAACTGTAGCTGCTGCAACCTCCCTGACGCGATGGGAACAATGATTCTGACGAACGGCTTCCACCTCCAGTGCTTGGGCCAAGGCGTCCTTAAGCATCTTGTGGTGCCCGAGCCTCACAGCAGCTCTGACCTCAAGGTCGCGGACGCCGTCGATGAATGTCTGCAACTGAAAGGCTCCCCTCAATGAGCGCAGGTGCAGACCGGTATGCTTTTCGCACCAGCTTCTCCACCTCAAGAGCCCACTGCTGCAGGTTTTGGTTGATGAGTTCCACGCGACCTTTAAACTGCGCACGAAAGACGTGTTCTAGGTGAGCGTCGCCATATCTCGCCTCCAACGCCTCAAGGAGCTTCTCGTAAGTCACTTTCTTACCGAGAGCTTCCAAAACAGTTAAGGCTTGGTCGCGCAGGCCTAGGGTGAGTGCAGTCATGGCCTGACTTTTATTCCAGCCAGCTTAATGACAGCCTCGAACTGGATTTTGTAGTCTGACCATGAAGAAGTCCCGTCGAACGGCGGCACTTTGAATCCACGTAGCGAAGGTGTTGTAGCTACTTCGGGAGCTGTAATTCCATCCCCAAGTTTGAGTTCATCCGGCGTTTTCTTAACTTGGTTGATTAGGGTCTCAGATTCCGACAGGCGGTTATCATGTTGAGCAACCTTATCCTTCACATCCCTTACCTCTTTCCCGAAGGTAGCGTGAAGGTCCTTCATGAGAAGCATGTGCTCTTTGTTATCGCGTTTGAGCTGCTCTTCTAAGCAATAGGCCTGTTCCTCCTGTCCGCGCTGCAGCTGCTCTTCCAACCGACGGGCCTGTTCCTCCTGTCGGCAGGCCTGTTCCTACTGCTGCTCTTTCAACCAACGGGCCTGTTCCTCCTGTCGGCGAGCCTGCTAGAGTAGGAGGCCTGTAGCATCACCATCAGAGCACCTAAGTCAGGTGCTGCAGAAGCAGGAGCTACTGACGGGCGGGCCTCCGTGGCTGACGGCTGGCCCTCCGACGTCTGCAGCGTTACACCACCAAATCGTCTCTGGTCCGTCTCCTGCTGGCGTTGACTTCGGGTATGGACACCCTCCGTTTCATCCTTAGGTAAAAGCGGCATGATTTTACTCCACTTCTGATACCAATTGTTAAGAGCTTAAGGTTCGTGCCAGTAAAAACTGCCGATTGAATTACCAAAATTTACTAATTTAATTTATTACCGAACACCAATTAAAACTTAAATCACCCTAATAATTAATCACACTTAACACTTTAGTTCACTTTATTTCGTTCCGAAAGCTTCGCTCGTATTGTCAATTCAATACTACTGCCCCGGTTGCGGCTTTAAATAGGCCTTTTCCATCGAAACATCCAGAATATTCCAGCAAATACCGGCCGCGACCGACCAGGTACAGAAAGTTCGAGTGCGGGGCTTTCTAGAAAGCTTAGTTCTTCCATTCGATACTAGATGGCGCTAGTGGGAAAGTTCTAGAAAGATCTTGACGCTCCTATTTCTGCTGCTTGATTCCAGATGGCGCTAATAATCAGTAGCATAGTGTTAAGAAGCCTGACTTGCTTCCTCATCGAATGGCTACGCTCAGTCCCTCAGCCCCAGCCCTCTTGTCGCCAGCCGCAATTTAATACATTTTAGTCAGCACTATGCTCAATGACCTCAATAGTGTCTCTCAACAGATGAACATGGACAAAACAAAAATCATGTTTAATGTCCATGTCACACCCATGCCGGTGGTTGTTCGGAGCACTACTCCAAACAACCACCGAGCTCGGAGTTGTTGACGAGTACGTTTACCTGGGACAAATAGTCCAACTAGGTAAGTCCAACTTCGACTGGTCAATCGACAGATTCAACTAGGCTGGGCGTTCGGGAAATTACGACACATCTCATTAGCTATACCTCAAAACCTGAAAACGAGACTACACAACCAGTGTGTGTTGCCAATGATGACCTATGGAACTGATACGTGGTCATTCACTGCTGGCCGTATGAGGACGCCCAAAGTCGCTCAGCGAGCTATGGAGAGGGCTATGCTTGGGGTTTCTCTGCATGATAAACTCAGAAATGAGGACATCCGCAGTAGAACCAGAGTGACCGACGTAGCCCAACGGATTAGTAAGCTAAGTGGTAATGGGCCGGCCATGTAACTCGAAGAACCAACAACCTATGTGGAAAAGAGGTTCTCAAGTGGCAGCCTGGTAAGTCATGCAGGAAGTCGATGAATGCAGATGGCTCAGGACCGTGATTTGTGGCGTTACTTGGGGGAGGCCTGTTTACAGCAGTGGACTTGTGAAGGGATGTAGAGATAGACGTAAATAAATAATGAACTTAAAATATATATATATATATATATATATATATATATATATATAATATTTTATTAGATATACTATTTTGAATGCAAATAATATAAATCATATATAAAATAGTAGTTATAAATCCCACTGCTGAGCACCAGCTTCCTCTCATTTCTGAGAAGGTTAGGGAACAATTAGTCCGCTACGTTTCTATTGTATCCAGTTCGTATTAGCGAACTTGACATGCCTTCGAAACATTTTTATTCATTAAATTAATAGTTATGAACCTTGCACAAATTTTATTTTCAGTCTCTCTTTTTGTGTATCCTATACCTTTAAACGAGCAATTCTTGTGTATATTATATATATAATCGGAATCTCGGAAACGGCTCCAACGATTTTCATAAAATTTTGTGTGCAGGGAGTTTCGGGGGGCAATAAATCGATTTAGTTAGGATTTATTTTTAGAAAATGTCTTTTTGTCCGTGTTTTTAGGCAATGAAAAACTGCTACAATATCGTTAAAATAAGAAGGTAAATTTTGACACTTTATTAATGATTACAAATATGTATATTGTGGGCGATCACAAAATCGTAATACCATTGTTCGAGCCCAGACCGACCGACTTTTTTTTATTTTATTTTTTTCAAGTTCCTTTCTTTTTTGAGAAAATCTATTTTTTTCGAGCCCTTTTTTTTAGTATTTTTAAAAACACGAAAAATTTAATTAAACTAAAATTGCACTCATGATTTTTTATTCAAATTACCATTCAGTTTTTTCCATTATGTCGCTAAGATCAAAAATATTATTCGTATTTCATCAGTATGTAATTTGTATCTAAATATAATTTCCAAAACACACTAATTAAAAAAAAAACGAGCGAAAAATACCGAGCAAAGCTCGGTCAACCGGGTACTAATATTAGTATAAAATAAAGTTATTGAACTTACCGGCGTCTGTAGCGTTGGTGGTGGATGCACGGTATGGGGCACATGGGCGGGGTGGGCGTTATGAGCGACGTGGTTTGCGTTGACCACATGTGTAGGATGCGTAACGTGTGCGCCGTGTGTTACGTGCGCAGCGTGATTCGGATGCACTGAGTGCGTCACGTGCGTCACGTGCGCTGGATGGGCTGCGTGTGCAGCGTGGGCCGCGTGTGCTGCGTGTGCTGCGTGAACGGCGTGTGCTGCATGTGTTGCGTGCGACACGTGCGCTCCGTAGTGCTGCGCGTTGCCCGCGTCCGAGCGGTAGCTGCTGAGGCGCGGGTTGTTGGTGTAGTACATGCTCACCATAGGACCTTTAGTCAACTGATGGATATCACGATCCAATAACTGAAAGAAAAAACGTGTAGACCAAGTTAGTCAATATTTTTTTTATGATTTAGTAAAGGAATTTTTAAATGTTAATGTCAGTAGAATAAGAAAAAATTATATTTTCTTTAGTTTCTTTTTTAGTTTGTATGTCACGGAAAGATTTAAGATACAATGGAGTTTTGGAAAATTTACCATGAAAGTTTCAATAAAAATGTGAATTTGACATTTTTAAAAAGAAAAAATAATAATAAGCCTCGCAACAGTCTATATCAATATAGTATAATCAATATGATTTCTTATATTTACGCGAACACTACACATTGAAATAATACTAGTTTTTACGGAATTTATCGCGTATATTTAACTTTTTAATTACCCGACGTTTCGAACGCTTTACAGCACTCATGGTCACGGGCAGGACTGAGATGTTCAACGTCCATATGTCATAGTTAACCGCGGTTACCATAGATTAAAATTTAACTTTTGTTCCGATCTATGCAGTATGAACTTATGGTATCTTGAAGTCTTGCAGTTGTATGCTTGGGTTGGGATTTAATTTTATTTATTATAGGATCGCAAGCAGATGGTAGCACCCAGCCATCTTCTCTATTGAAATTAGGATGTTTTTTGATTTCAATAGCCTCGCGAATCATCCTTGGAAGGAATCGGTGTTCTTTAGCGAGGATCTGCGGTCTATCAAATCTGATGTAGTGACGGGGGCGATCCTGTACGTGTTCACAGACTGCAGAGTTCCCGGAGCATTGATTCTTCACATCAGCTATATGTTCTTTAACGCGGGTATAATCAAGTCTCTCAAAGTTTGTCTGATCGTCCCCAAGAAAAAGGTATAAAAATAAATATTATACTAAGGCGTAAACTTACTTTGTTCATAATTCTCGCCAACTTAACAGGGTCGTCTTTATAGAAAGATAGCAAGGTGAGAGCTAACTCGCCGCGCTGTCGTCTCGTGCCTTCGCATAGCAATGGATGTTCGGCTTCTGATACATTCGCCTTCAGCCCTAAAGCGGCCACTGCAGCTTCGAAACCCAATGCTTCATCGCTTGGCAACCTAGCCTGCAATTAGTATTTATATTTTTTTGTGAAACGGAATAAAATAGGAAAGTTTATCCGTATTTATAGTAAATTATACCTTAATTGTAAAATAAAACATTTACCATAAAAAAATTCTAAGGTAAATATAAAAGTATTTTTAACTAATAAAATTTTGAAGTCCAAACAAAGATTGCATAAATGCTATTTTTTTTCTAAACTTTGACTTCTTTGTAAATATATATATCCTGTTCTTTTAACAAATGTTAGGATTTAATGTATATTGTTAGGCTAAAACAGCGACAGCTGAAAATATTTGTTGCGTTTATTTAATTATTAATAAAACTGATGGTATCTTTGTGGTGTTGCCAGGCAGGTGTGCTTTATCGCATGATTTTCGTTTTAGCTCGGATTTTGACAAGACAGCTCGGATTATAACACGCACGCTTGCACTTAGCTCGTTCACACGCACGCACGCAGTCAGGCTCGTACACACACAGACAGACACACTCACGCAAATACGAATGCACATGTCATTTTAAAAGAATTTTTAGAATTGGATCCTATTGACCTCAAAACATAAGAAATTTGTTGAAATTTACACCTTCAAATATCGAAACCATTTACAACAAGTTCCCAAGAGGAAGCAAATACTTACTGGGTGCTTATTTTCTTTATCGGTAGCAGATAGAACGAGGACATCAAATAAGAAGCTTGCAAGTGCTATAGGTAACAGTGCAGGCCCCCGATTTCTGGAACAATATCCAAAATTACCAAATACTCAACCCTCCATTCAATGCTCTAATCATTAAACGATAATGCCTATACATACCTTAAAGTACCATCACGTAGCTGTTCCGCCTTTTCACGAGCTAGAGCAAGTTGCTCGGCACCAGTGGGAAGTTTCTTCAATAGTGCCACTAATTCAGTCTCTTGATTATTCAATTTCACTTCCAAGGCTTTGGTGCTGGCTGGAGGTCGTGCCATTTCTAAAGCGTAAAGACCCACTCGAAAAGCCAGTTCGTGATGCTCGCTGAATTCTGCTAAGACCTATTAACAATTTTTCTGTATAATTATAAATTCTAACATTCTACTGTATAAATTCTATTATTCTTGCAGTCTATGGACCAACTACACCAAAAAGACTTATAGTGCCCTATGTACTCAATACAACAAAGCATTCAGGGCGCTGTTGCGGCTGCCGCGCTACTGTAGCGCGTCTGCGATGTTTGCACTGGCGGGTGTGGATAATGTTGATGCAATAATACGAAAAAAGACCGCATCTTTGCTAAACAGAGTGCGCGGCAGGGGCCACAGTGTACTGAGAGAGATTGCCAACAGTGGGGACTGTCCACTAATCAAAAAAATGATCTCCAGGACCATGTCCTGCTTAATAAGTAAATATTTAAATAAAAAAAAATAAAAATGTATAAATTATATTACTAACATAGATGTAAGTTTTTCTCTACTAACAATTCCTATGGATTTCAAGTTTTCCGAAATAAACAATTTTTATTTTTATTTATTTATTTATCTACATGGTTCCGTAGTTTCGTCAAGATTTTTTTTTTCATTACAGCACTTCACAAGTTCCCTGCTGAACATAGGCCTCCCCCAAGAAATCCCACAAAACACGGTCCTTAGCCACCTGCATCCATCGACTTCCTGCATGTTTTACCAGTTTCTCAAGTTAATAGTAAAAAATATGTAGTAATTTTGCAAGAGAGTGATATTTTAGTATATAAGTGACCTCTATACCTACTGTACTTACTACTATACAATTCGCTCTCCTTTGCTGTTCAGGATGATGAAAAACGGAACTTCTGGTCCGATGACTATCATTACTTATTTACAGTATCTATGGACTGTTCATAACACCAATAATGCTAGTTGGCATTTTATGCCAAATCCACCCTTTGTTAGTTTATATTCAGAGTAAGGTGAACGCAATATAGATCTAATACATGATCCTTAACTGTTGGTCGCATGATGAAGCACAAGGTCATTTAGCGAGGGCAATGCACGGAGTTTCGTTGCATAATAGACTTCGTAATGAGAACATCCGCAATAGAAATATAGTAACGAACATAGCCCGACGGATCAGTAAGCTGAAGTGGCAGTAGGGCGGCCATATAGCTCGAAGAACCAAAAGCCGATGGGAAGGAAAGGTTTTCGAGCAGTCTCGTCCCAATAAGCGAAAAGCAGGCAAGCCACCCACAGTGTGGAGTAGCGACCTGGTACGAGTTGCAGGAGGCCGATGGATGCGGGTGATTCAGGAATATTCTTTATGGCATTCCTTAAGGGAGACCTATGTTCAGCAGTGGATCTGTGATAGGCTGTAATGATGATGATGATGAATGCAATAGTGTTCATGTTACAAAGGATCATTTTGAAACATGAAACTATGTCAAAGTAAATTGGTAATGTCGGTGTGCCGTTTTATAAACATAAATAGCACATGGGCAAACCATCCAAATTCAGAACAATTTAAAAAAAAGTTAAAAAAAGTATCTGTATGTGTAGTTTGTACGTAGTAGAGACACTGCGGATATGCTCATTTCTGAGTCTATCACGCAGAGAAACTCCGAGCATAGCCCTCTCCATAGCTCGCTGAGCGACCTTGAGCGTCCTTAAGCGTAGTGTAGGGCAACCCCCCACTAGATGGAGTGACGACCTGGTAAGACATGCAGGAAGTCGATGGATGCAGGTGGCTCAGAACCGTGCTTTGTGGCATTACTTGGGGGAGGCTTATGTTCAGCAGTGGACTTGTGAAGGGCTGTAATAATGATGATGACGAAGAGACACTGCAACTGTATTATGGATGCAAAATGAAAAAAAGGGTCAGCTCAACCAGGGAAGTGCCACACTGTCAGATTATCACCGTAAAATAGCAGCATAATGCTGTTAAATCTTCACTTATTTCATATGGGCACTTACGGACAACGCATTACGCCAGTGAAAATTAAAAGGTGCGTAACGATGAGCGGTTTGCCAGAACAATGCGCCGAAACTTATTCACAGCCGCTCGCATTCCGGACGAGTTTAAAATTGTCGAGTAGTAGTTTCAAATGCCTCGCACGATTGCATTTTCATTTACGTCATTTCCTTTTTCTAGGCAAATGCGAAATAAAGTTCTGGTCATCTACTGGAACATCCGATGCTTCCAAGTTCCCACGGGTCACACGACGTGACGCATTACTACATCGCGACATAGTTCGCTATACATTAAGCCACTTTATAAGTCACTAATGTAACAAACATCGTACAGTTGTCACTTATTGTAATTAATATTGTAGTAATAAATTAAGTTGAGGCAAATGTTTTTTTTTTAATTCTAACTTGCGAACGAACGTAATTTTCATAAATTATTGCAGCGTTATCTTAGTCATACATAATAAATAAAATCTGTGTGAGATTGTATTGAACTACGTTCGCGGTATACAAAACAAAAAACCAGTTTTCTCGCCCGCTCGCGGTCGACTATAGTTACGGAGAATTGAGCGTCACTTAGCGCAATGTATTAAGGCCGCAGAGCCCGTCTAATAGTTATACTTAGTGTTTAGTTTACATACACTTCGAAAAGTTTACGCTACTGTAAAACTCGCCGTTCGTGTGAACGAGCAAGTTTAGTTCAGTACAAAAGTTGACATGACGCAACGTGGTCGTGTTCAACCCTCAAGATATAAAATTGTACTTTTTTTAACTAAACTCGCCACGACGACATTTGCACGCTGCTTGTCCACCTAACCGTTTACTGTCAAGTGCCATGTAACTAAGCTCGTTAGTGTAGTTGTCGAAGTGTAAAGGTAGCATTCGGATTCCGGCGGCCGCGGCCCGGCAGCGGCGACTCGGCGGTCGCGACCCTATTGCTTCCGCACCGCTTTGTAGGGATTTGTATGGAACACTTTCCGAAGCACGCGACCGTGCGGCACGGCCGGGGGGCGTGGTTAGCGCACGACGCCGGCAGCGCTGCCGAGCCGCTCCGGAGGCAGTGTGGCAGCGCTGCCGGCAGTTTTTTATTTAATCTACAGTACTTCCTGAATTTATTTTCTTTTGCGTTTAAATGTTTATTAATTAGGATTTGATAGCTGCCTTCCTCATATATTGATGTATATAATGAATCTATTTTATTTCTATTTAATGAGAGTAAGAACAACATTATTTCATCATCCTCTTCTTCGTCCTCTATAAGTCGCTTTAGAAGTTCTTGTTTCGTTTTATTTAAGTTATCAGACATAGTTCTGATACGCAAAATACGACCGAACACACAACCGCACGACTGTTCACACTCACGCTCACAGACTCTTTCTTGACTACTGCACGTTGCAGTCGTGGCTCGGGCTACGGTCGCTACTATTCGAAAGGAAGTGGCTGCGCCGCACAGCTGCGGCAGTGGGTTGCGGCAGCTTGTCGCGGCTGCGGCTCTGCTGTGATCCGAATGCTACCTTAAATCAGCTATAAGTGAATACTAATTACTAACCGTGCAGAGGAAGGCGCACTTGGCGAGCGTGGCGGAGGCGAGGCAGGAGAGGCGGTGGCTGGCGGCGCACAGGCGCGGCGAGGGCACGTTCCGCCGCCGCGCGCGCCGCTCCGCCGCTGCCGCCGCCGCCGCGCTGCACGTGCCCGCGCTCGCGCCCGTGCCCGCAGACCCTGCACCACAATCAACCCTCGCATCAACGCAATATTACCAATCACAGTGTAGATTTTTATAACCCTACAGTCTCTTGCGCGTTAAGCACAATTTACAATGGCACGTACTAAGCAAACCGTTCGAAAATCCACCGACGGTAAAGCAGCACATAAGAGCTCATCAGTAACCGGCGGTGTTGAGATAACCCATCGTTACAGGCCCGGTACCGTCGCTCTCCGTGAGATTCGTCACTACCAGAAGAGCACCGAGCTCCTAATCCGCAAATTGCCCTTGCAACGTTTGGTGCGTGAGATCGCTCAGGATTTTAAGACGGACCTCCGCTTCTAGAACTCCACCGTGATGGCCCTCCAAGAGGATAACGAAGCTTACCTAGTCGGTTGTTCGAGAATACCAACTTACGCGCGATTCATGCAAAACGTGTAACCATTATGCCGAAAGACATACTCTCACATTGCTTTTACAAGTGCCTACCGTTACATTTTACAAGATGTGATCATTAGGATACAATCAACACTGCATCGCATATATCGCAATAATGCTCATTTTACTTTGACAGGTACTGTTACATGTTGTCACTATCAATCCACACTAAAGTATATACGCTTTGAAATCACGGTAGGACTGAGGTGATCAACCACCTGTTAATATGTAATAGTTATTCTGGTTTCCTCGTTGGTGTCGCGATCGCAGACGCTATTGCTGATCTAATGGTCCTGGATTTGAATCTTGGGTCGAACAAAAATGAGTTATTAGAACTTTCTTTAAAAAATGCTGTCCCGCCAGTTACATCGAAATCAAAATGTTAGGCCGTACAAGTAATGTTAAAACTAGAACAATATTATTATTTCATTTTTAAGGCGCTGTACATACTCAAAGTAGGCTTCAGAAAACATTTTTTTAGGAAAATGTATACATTTTAGAGCTGCAAAAAAATATGTTAATCTTGATCATATATATTAGGGGACCATTGTGTTCAAAACACGTTTTCGGTAAATTTTCTCGATAGAAAAAATCACAAAAAATCCAAAAATTCTAGCAATTGTAACTGGATTATTTATAAACAAATCTTGATCAAGTTAATCACAGTGATGTAATATATAATAATAAAGGGAACTGTTGTTTTTATTTATCAATTAAAATAAGATATTTGTAAGTATTAACATATTTAATGATTAATAACTCGAACGAGTCCAACGAAACATCGCGCCATCTTGGCGTCTTTTTGCTTCTCTTTCATTTCTACGCGGAGCGACACTGACCGCTGAGGCGCGCTGCTAGATAGACCTGTTTCGCTCGCCGCTCAAAAATCATTTACGTATGTTTTGTTGTTGAAAGCTGTGTATATTTTATTTTGTGATTAGTTTTTTATAAGTTGTATTGTTGGTGTAAATTTTTGTTCGGTTTCGGTTCTAGTGATAAGTTTTGTAAATATACAATTAGTTTTTTATAAGTTAGTCTAAACTTTTTGAGATTTAGGTTTTAGTCATAAGTTTTATAAAATAAACAATGAATGTATGTATACATTATAAAAATGGACAACAAAAAAATAAACGCAGGGCAATAAAGAGATCTTATTCGATGAAACAAAAACACACGATGGAAGTTGTGTGTCTACATTTTTGTGCACATCTTATTTTGGTTATATAGATTATCTATAGATGCGTAATTTCAATTACCAGTCTAAAGTTCGATTGGTCTAGCGGAGTCGTGCGTTCAGTTAGTTTCTAGCGTCGATATGTATTGGTTCTAATCCTGCATACTATTATGGGTCACGCTTTTTGCTGATTGACTTTTTCTCGATTTTCTTGTTTGTAATAATTTTTCACAAATTATTTTTTTATTTTCTTATTTTTAATATAATCATAATCCAATTTTATTGTTTTTTTTAGTAAAAAGAAACGGTTGGCATGCAACCCGTCAGCAGATGAATGATCGGAGAAAACTTTTCATGAGTAAGCTTTTACATACATGGTGTTACAGAATAATTCTAATTTATCAACTCAGAATTACTTCTCAAATGAATAAGTGGGCTTAGGCGCTATAAATTACCAAAATGCCCAGAATAGAAATTGAATAAATCCGCATACAAAATTTTCTAAATGCCAAATGCAAATTACCAAAATGCAAATTGTTGGAATTCATTTTCTCCAAAAAAAACACATGATATAAAAGTAACTATATATTCAATACAAAAAGATTCTGGGCACGAAAACCCTGGGATATCACTTTCAATTGCATCAGTTGTAACTCCAGGAGCCAAACCAAAATCAAATTATGATAAGTAAGTATTCGTAAATACCGCGTAATTGCCATGACAGATTTTTTGTTTGTAATTAAATAAAAATTAAATTTCGTTTTTTTTATTACAGAGAAATCACTGACGATGTGCTATTGATTGAACCGTCGACTGAATCTCTAGAACCACCAATTTATGGTCAAAGAGTAGTTGACATAATGCATTTTATCCAGCAGCCGTGAATTATATCCAGTCATAGTTCTTTTTAGAATTGTCATTTCTTACAAATGTCACTCATAGGAGAAAAAAGGATTGCCTGTTAATAAGTTTAAATATTTAATTAATTAAAAACTGTATAAAAAGGGTTATTATAATATAAATGAATACATGGTTGATAATAAACCCTGGGAATGAGGTGGTCACGTCAAAGTTGTTTCTAAAATAAATTTTGTAAATAGTTTGTAACCAATCATATTGTAAAGTATATGTTTTTAGTCACACTGGGTTTCTTGCTGGTTTTTCCTAGGACAGAGGTTTTTTAAAGTCAGTCGTAAAGTAAAAATGACTTTCAATAACAATTACATGTGATCTATATTGAATAAAAAATCATTCTATTCGATTTTAGGGCTGACAGCATAATAAAAGTTTTTCATAACGATGTCTCGTCCCCACTCATCTGCTTCACCCCCTCTAGTACATAAAAGTCGTCTATTCACCGCGTCTTAACGTAACATCACATTTTTTTTTGTCATCCTTTACTAAACTTTTGTTGTCCGAAATAAATATTATTATTATTTATTATAAGTGTTCACGTGCAATGGGATATTATGGCACTCACAGCGCAGTGACCGTACCCAAAAAACTTTGTATGACTCAATACGAAGTTCAGTCAAGGGATTGTAATGCCTCAACGCATTGTAGTGCCTGAATTGGAAATACACATGAAGACATTATATGCGACAAGTCGACATGACAATTTTCTAGTGATGTGGCATCACGTACCAGGTAGTTAATATCGATATTTTTTTTCTTGCAACGCAACAGAATAACAGGAAAATTAATTCAATAAGGTTTATTATAAATAAAATGAATACTATATAAGACAGCGCCTGCGTCGTTGGGCGTGCGGTGGCGTCTGTGCGGTTAGCTACTTGTTTCGCTTGTATAAAACAGATCAACCGCCGCCGTTAGGAGAGATTTGGCTCAACGGTGGCACGGTGCATTTGTTGTATTCCGCTACTAGCTCACCCTCGACTCATGGGATGATTAATTCGTTGAAAGAAATTAATTATTATTTTCAGCTACGAAATTTGCCTCGGTAAAATTTATAGTTGATTAGTTGTGATCTGTGTATTTCATAGTTGTATAAAGTAATATATTGTAAATTAATTCTATTTAAAAGAAATGTCCCGCTGGATTTCTTGCTGGTTCTTCCCAGGACAGAGATTTTCTCCGAACCAGTGGTCGTAGTACTGTATTAAATAAAAAAGATTCTATGCTATTCTAAAACCTTTTTTGTGACTCTTCATATTTACATATCCTGCATAAATATATGCAGTGGTGGCGGGAAAACTCTGTCCTGGGAAGAACCATCAAGAAATCCAGCGGGACATTTCTTTGTGTATGTATGCAGTGAAGGTGCGGGTGTACGTACCCAGTGCGGGTCGAACAGTTCGCGCGCCCGGCTGGCGCTCAGCGCTCAGCGTTGCGCGCGTGCCCGTGCACCTACAGCCCCTCGGCACACACGAACGTACAATGTGTATGTATGCAGTTGAGGCGCGGGTGTATGTACCGAGTGCGGGTCGAGCAGTTCGCGCTACCGGCTGGCGCCCAACGCGCAGCATCGCTCGCGTGTCCGTGCACCTACAGCCCCTCGGCACACACGAACGTACAATGTGTATGTATGCAGTGGAGGCGCGGGTGTACGTACCGAGTACGGGTCGAGCAGTTCGCGCTCCCGGCTGGCGCCCAACGCGCAGCGTCGCTCGCGTGCCCGTGCACCTACAGCCCCTCGGCATGCACGAACGTACAATGTGTATGTATGCAGTGGAGGCGCGGGTGTACGTACCGAGTACGGGTCGAGCAGTTCGCGATCCCGGCTGGCGCCCAACGCGCAGCGTCGCTCGCGTGCCCGTACACCTACAGCCCCTCGGCATGCACGAACGTACAATGTGTATGTATGCAGTGGAGGCGCGGGTGTACGTACCGAGTGCGGGTCGAGCAGTTCGCGCGCCCGGCTGGCGCCCAACGCGCAGCAACGCTTGCGTTCCCGTGCACCTATAGCCCCTCGGCACGCACGAACGTACAATGTGTATGTATGCAGTGGAGGCGCGGGTGTACGTACCGAGGGCGGGAGGGCGTGCTAGCAGGTCGCGAGCCAGACTGGCACCTAGCGCGCAGGCTTCACGCGCATGCCCGTGCGCCTGTAGCCCCTCGGCGCGCGCGAACGACACCTCCCAGCCGCAGCCCCAGCCCACGCTCACGCCTGCCCCTACCGCCTGCACGCACAACAAGTACTCATCTTCCATCAACAATATATAAGTTGCGTCGCGAGTCGTGACCACCAAGTGACAGCATTTGCGCATGTACATTTTCCAGCCAACATACCACAAGCTAATGTCGCGTGAATATCCGATGAATAACAAACATTAACTAACGGACCAATCACGTGAAAGAATGTTCACCGTACTCACCTCATGCCATTATATTTCACCAAACAATCCTATATATCGATTATTGCGCATGTGAAAGCTGTGCTCACGAGTCGTGCCGCAACGTTCAGCACATAAAGTTAACGTGTAGTGGCATTATAACAATATCCTCTACCTCATATCATCGCGTAAGTATCGTAATAGTCCGGTCAATCTAGACATTCGGTGATACATAAAGTTACAACAAGGTGATAATCGGTAAAATTGTTCAAAATATAATTATAAATAAAATTTTAAAGTACCCCACCATTGTTGTGTATGGAAAAAAATTGACTCAAGGTCAAAGGTAAAAAATGCGTTTTTCGCGATTTTCAGCAAAACTGTAAGTTTTATCATAAAAATACCCAAGACAAAAGTTGTAGATCATAAAATTCTCTACAAAAAATTTATCTGAACTACCGTTTCTGAGATAATACGATTCAAAAAGTTGTAAACGTCATGTGCACAAGTTTCCACGTCACCTATGAAGTAGTGTACTTAGCGGGTTTTTTCAACGTGGTTTCCCCAGTAGGCCACGAGTCATTTATGATCCTGTTTAATTTGTAACTATTGCAAAATAATGGAAATTAGGAAAAATTTGAAAAAAATAAAGCGATATCAATTTTAAAAAGTAATGAAGCTTATTCGTCCTATACAAATTCTTTTTGCTTTTCTTCTTGATCTTCTTCAGATTCTCGTCCTTTTTCTTCTCCTTCATCTTCATCTTCATTTTGAGAGCAAGCCAATTTTTTACTGTAACGTACTACACCGACTTTTTGATAGATCTGTATCGGCACATAAGCTTTTGCCTTGAAACTTTTGCTGAAAGAGCTTCTTTTATTCGTGACAAAGGTTCTTCTAGCAAAACGGAATGTTTTGGTGTAACAATTTGAATAATACCCATTATGTGGAGCGTGTTTTTGCCGTCTAGCGTATTTACATTGATATCAGCATTATTTGCAACGTACTGAATAATTGTGCCACTTTCTGGTGGTAGGACATGAGGACGATGAAAAACTGCTGTTGTTGCCTCGTACATTACTGTATCATTATAAGATGCACATAAACCAAAACACGAAAAGATTTGAATCTTTAAGACCCGAACCTACGATGGAAAAAAAGGCGATGCCGAACAGCAGTCATGATAATATGGCAATAATTTGTACATATTCTTATAGTTATAACTTATTCATATTTTATATTTTAAGGGTAACTTACAATAACCGATAGAAAAATGTTTTAACATATATTAAAACTCTAGAGATGTATATACGTGGCGTACTCATGCATATTATGACGTTTACAACTTTTTGAATCGTAATATCTCAGAAACGGTGGCTTGTAGAAAAACAAGAAGTATTAGTACATTTTTTGTAGATAATTTTATGATCTACAATTTGTTTCTGGGGTATTTTATGATAAAAATTACCGTTTTACTGAAAATCGCGAAACTCATTTTTTCGACCTTGGACCTTGAGTAAATTTTTTTCCATACACAGGAATAGTGGGGGACTTTTATTTATAATTATATTATGAACAATTTTACTGATTATCAGCTTGTTGTAACTTTATGTATCTCTTATTTTCTGGTCTAATTTGCTGGACTATAAGAGGTAACAGGAGGAAACAAATCAGAAATTAACACATTCCTCCTAATAATAACTAAAAAACTGCGATTGCCCATCTATGTACCGAGCACGGCAACGAAATCATATGAGAACTTCTATGGGGAAGGCCTATGTTCAGCAGACTTTTGATAGGCTGTCACGGTAAAGTTAAGCAACAGCCTATATAATATGTCATATTTAAAAAAAAACTGAAGTACCAAATGGACTTACACCTAACAATCCACCTGATAACAAGTGACTACAATATAATCCAAACGAGGAAGGCCACAGATGTGTTGTCACCTCTGTAGACACAAATAGAATGATTCAAAGCATACCATAATAATGTCCTCCAGACCGAATTTCGGCCACGGCGGCCTTCCTCAACGGAGGCTAGCCATCAGCGCAGGACAGGATTATAGTGCCCAAGTGTATGCGCAACTACAGGTGCACTCTCTATTCCTTCAATCTCATAATCAGATGGGACGATAAACCAACACGACCGAAGAACGATCAGACGCAAGGTCCAACGGCTTTACGTGCTTTCCGAGGCACGGGGGTGAGACACCGCCAACTTCCTGACTCCAGGCAACTACTGAGAATTTCTTGACGAAAAAAATAATTATTTTTATGGCCCGACCCGGGATTCGACTAGACTAGACAGACCTCACTAGACTAAAGAGGCAGTCAAAACATACCATACCATATTGACTCTCTATACCACTGAGACCGGAACACAGCAATGCAAGTTCTAGTATTAAAATAGGTAAAACAGTGGTAACTATACAGACGGATTTCTAGGCAACAAAAAAAGAGTGCTATAACCCTGTGTTACAATGCTAGCTAATACAAGCCTCCTCCTATTTCTGAAAGAGTATTTAGCGCAGGAATATGCTAGTCAACCTTCCCCTATGTAAATCAACACACTTTGCGTTTTACAGAACAATATTATACATAATATTTTTAATTCTCAGAGATGCAGGCTTTCTGAAGAAGTTTTCCTTCAATTTTTTCCTTCACTTTTACGCTTACGCTTTTATCAAAGATTGATAAAAGCGTAAGCGTAAAAGTGTAAGCAATGATTAGTAGTGATAGTACAAAGATCTCCAAATGCGTGCGGCAAGACTTACGCAACTTCAATACAGCTCGTACTGAGGAAGCGATTGATCGGAACCAGGGCTACAAAGTCTTTGCCAGAGATCTGTCTGCCCGTAAGAGCCAACTGTCAAAGCTGAAGAGTGAGTGTGGCAGCATCATTTCCGGGACACCTGAGATTCTGAGTGAGATTGAGAGGTTCTATGGGCAGCTGTACACATCATCGTTGGAGCCACACGCAAGTGTGAGTAACGATCCAAGAGCAAGTCTTATCCGACACTATTCTGATGATATCCCGGACCTCAGTCTGAGCGAGATTAGAATGGCTCTCCAGGATCTTAAAAACGGCAAGTCCCCGGGCGAGGATGGAATTACAGCAGAACTGCTGAAAGCGGGTGGAAAACCGGTACTTGAAGTCCTTTAGAGGTTCTTTAATTCCGTCCTCCATGAAAGCACCACTCCCGAGGCGTGGAGCAGAAGTGCGGTGGTCTAGTTCTTCAAGAAAGGTGACAACGCCCTCTTGAAGTACTACAGACCGATATCCCTTCCGAGTCGCGTCTACGTGCTGTTTTCGAGAGTCATTACGAATCGTCTCGCACGCAAACTCGACGACTTCCAGCATCCCTAACAAGCCGGTTTCCGAAAAGGCTTTAGTATCATAGACCACATACATACCCTTCGGCAAGTTGTATAGAAATCCGAATACAATCTGCCACTTTGCCTGGCGTATGTGGGCTATGACAAAGCCTTTGATTCCGTCTAAATTTGGGCGGTGCTACAGTCCCTTCAGCGGTGCCAAGTTGACTGTCGGTATATCGAAGTGCTGAAGTTTTTGTACAGTAGGGCTACGATGGCTATACAAGTACAGAAGCAGAGTACGAAACCTATCCAACTGCAGAGAGGTGTAAGACAGGGTGACGTTATTTCCCCGAAACTCTTCACCGCTGCATTGGAAGACGTTTTCAAGCTACTGGACTGGAAAAGATACGGTATTAACATCAATGGCGAGTATATCACTCGCCTTCGATTTGCCGACGATATAGTCCTTATGGCAGAATCGCTGGAGGACTTAAGCACTATGCTCAATGACCTCTATAGTGCCTCCCAACGGATAGGTCTTAAGAAGAACATGGACAAAACAAAGATCATGTTTAAAGTCCATGTCACACATATACCCGTAGTTGTTGGGAGCACTAAGCTCGAAGTTGTTGACGAGTACGTTTACCTGGGACAAATAGTCCCACTAGGTAAATCCAACTTCGGCCGAGAGGTCAATCGACGGAATCAACTTGGCTGGGCAGCGTTCGGGAAATTACGACACGTCTTCTCGTCAGGTATACCACAAAACCTGAAAACGAGACTACACAACCAGTGCGTGTTGCCAGTGATGACCTACGGAACCGAGACGTGGTCCTTCACTGCCGGCCGTATGAGGACGCTCAAAGTCGCTCAGCGAGCTATGGAGAAGGCTATTCTCGGAGTTTCTCTGCGTGATAAACTTAGAAATGAGGATATCCGCAGTAGAACCAGAGTGACCGACATAGCCCAACGGATTAGTAAGCTGAAGTGGCAATGGGACCGGGCATATAGTTCGAAGAACCGACAACCGTTGGGGAAAAAGGGTTCTCGAGTGGCAGTCTCGTACCGGTAGGCGTAAGTGTAGGGCGACCTCCCACTAGATGGAGTGACGACCTGGTATGACATGCAGGAAGTCGACGGATGCAGGTGGCTCAGGACCGTGCTTTGTGGCATTACTTGGGGGAGGTCATGTTCAGCAGTAGACTTGTGAAGGGCTGTAATGATGATGATGATGATTGTGCATTATGTCCTAGATACTAAGCTTTAGCAATTAATATTTTTACTGATGTACCAATCATTGGTAATCTAATTAAGAAAAGCGAACTATTTTTACAATTTATATAGGGTTGCAGCAACGCCATGGGTGGAGGCGTAGAGCACAAGTACGGTGGTCTTATACTTCAAAAAAGGCGACAACGCTCTCTTGAAGAACTACAGACCGATTTCAATTCCGAGCCCCATCTACATGCTGTTTTCGAGAGACATTATCATTAACTATGTAATTAGTCATCAAATTAGCTCGCTGGTTTTTCTATAAGGCTACGACAAGTTAATACAGCAAACGGTGCGTGCGCTACATCAGCGTACACACGTACACGTCGCGACTGTGGCGAAGGTCTTCACCATCGTTGGTGTCGTGTCGGCGTTGTCGATGTTCCGTGTCGGCAAACGGTTTACTCACGGGGAGCGTCGGCGCGCTGGTGCCGGCTCCCTCGCTGGCGACGCGACGTGCAGCCGCCACGTCGTAGTAGTACAGCTGGCACTCGTCATCGGACACCGAGTCGTCGTTAGAAACGCGACGGCGCGCTTCGTCCGCGTCAGAAGACGTCGGTGGCGAACTCGACTCCTGCGAATCTGTGTCGGCACCACTCTGTTGCAGAATCTCCTCTTCATTCTCGCAGAAACCTTGCAGCAATATAAAAAAGTTCATCACCCTAAAAATATCCTTGGATTTAACAAGTAAACTGTCCATTTAGTTCGCTATGTCGTTAAAAGCTTATCACAACCAATTCCTTTTCTTTATTTCTTCTTTATCAGCCCATAAGAGTCCACTGCTGGACATTCAAATAAGTTTAATCTTAATCGTAAACGCTTGACTTGTCTTAGCCACCGTAAAAAAATACTTGGATTTTGGTATTTCCTAAAATTCGACAGTGAGGAATAGAAATGCAAATTGTCAATTTAATTCTAATGTAGCTAATATTTTGTCACATGCAATACTATTTCCGTCTCGGTAGTAAGGAACAAAAAAACTGCAGTTAACATCATGCTTGCCAAGCGTGGCACCTATGGCTAATATGTCTATGTTCAACAGTGGACTTTAATAGGCTAAAACGGTAATACTATTTCTTCTTCTTCATCAAACCGTAAGAGTTCACTGCTGGACGAAAGTCTCTACTGTTGTAGATAAGGTTTGGATTATTTTAAGTCTGGCGTAGACGATTTGTTATACTGCCGTCTTTCGGAAGTCCTAAGATCATTTTAGCCTTTCCTATAGTAGCCTCTTACGAAATCCACAGGGCAAAATGGGGTAATAGATTCTCTTAGGACACCACCTCATGGCAAAAACTATGCCCCGTTACCTTCATGTCTCTGGGTTTCCGAATGTCGTCACTGATATTATAAAATATGCCTTCCCCGGTCAAGCCAACTCATCGATTTAACCAGCCATAATAGAGTTGCATAGAATGAACTTAGACAAAAACACAGACGCGGAACAATTATGTGTAGGCCATATAAATACCTGTTTCAAAAGTCTTAACAGTAACGGTATCATGAAGTTTTTATCTTTATTTAATACTAATTGATGGTGTGTTCAAAATACATAATAATATAATGTATAATATTATAATGATGGCAATATAATGTACTTAATGTTTTGTTCAAAGCGATTAAATATTTTTCAAAGAAAACACACACCCACGACAATAATCTGACGAAATTTCAATGCCTAACCTATGCACATTGTTGTCATATTACCTTCAGACGAAACACTAGAGTGATTCCCATCACTAGGTCCAGAGTCACGTGGTGGATCACTAGGACCTTCTCCAGAACCAGACGCCTGAAATAATAATGATAGCTTTTTTAATAATTTTTCTTTTTAAGTTATAAACATGACAGTTACAAATATAAGTAGTAGAATGTGGAATGAAAAATAAAATGATTCTATACTGCTTTGTGAAGACATTGTACTGTCACCCTATCCAAACCTAGGAGTGTTGTAAAAATAGACTAAAAGAAATGATAGAAAGTAGCTAAATACTAACGAAAATTGTGCTAAAGGAAATCCTCATCCAGTGGATTTACAATAATAATAGACTGTTTTAGTCTATTATATAAATTATAATACACGTTTTTCTTTCTTATGAGCTTATAAAGAATGCAGACAAAACCACTTGTTACCATAATAATAAAATGCACACATTAAGGATAAAAATTAAATCCTTTTTGTATGGTATGGAGGTATGCTATGGAGTGTATATATTTTTCTCATTATAGGAAGAAATTGCTGTATTTGCATTGAAGTAATATGTACTTACGTACTAGAACAACTATTTCAAACAATGTGCGCTACTCTGTGTTCGCGAGGTTGTTTTTGTTTATCATAGAATAAACATAGGTAGAATGATCAGTAGGTAAAAGTAGATTGTATTGTTAAATAGGTAAATTATATCGAAACAATTTTTTTTAATTGTCATTTATTTTGTATGTTATATTTGCTTATTTAATATAATATAATATAATACACTCGGCGTTACAAAAATCGCACCTCCCCGAAAAAATGTTACTTGAGTATCTGGCGTCAGTGTTTACATTTAATCAAGTCAATATTGGTATCTACTGAAAGTGTGTTTATTGACCTTTAAATTAACAATCTTTTTGTTTTATAAACTTAAGAAATTTCCTGAATACGAGACGTTGAAAAAACTGTTTCAAAAATACGCGTCATAAAGATCACTAGTTGCAGTGCGTTATGTGCTATAAAAGGGCCGGTACATGTAAAATGTGAGTCTTTCGCTTTCAAAACGTTCAAGACGACCGCAGTGGTATCCATATTGTAGGGTTTTCCTACAATATGGATACCACTGCGGTTAAGCCGCTCAAGTGATTGCGCTACTGCAGTCAGAAATGCGACAGTGTGATGTCGCTTGGCAACTAAATCTATCCCATTCGACTAGTTTTCCAACGGTTTCAGGACACTGGTGGCTATATTCGGAGGCGTGGATCTTAACGACAGCGCTGCACATCTCAAAGAGACGATCGATTCATTGTATCGACATCTTTATGCAATAGATTCTCGAATGCTGTAAAACTGCAACAGCAGCTACGATCAGCTCGCAGAACATCTGTAAGCGTCTCTACGATCAGAAGACGGTTAAGAGAAAAGAAAATTGCAGCGCATAGGCCTGTAACTGGTCCAAAATTGACCGCACAGCATCGCAGAGATCGATTGCAATTTGCATGCGATCATATTGATTGAACGATCGAACAATGGAGGACGGTACTTTTTTCGGATGAGACGAGAGTATGTCTTTTCTGCAATGATAAACGCAGAAAAGTATACAGAAGGCAAGGGGAATGATTTGCACAAGCCTGTATTGAAGAAACAGTTGGATTCAAGATTGGCTCATGCATGTTCTTGGGTAGCATGTCAGTCGACGCCAAAACCAGCCTTGTCTGCGTTTCTCGGAATGGAGGTACTCGTGGTCAAGCTGCACTGCTGACTGCTCACCGATACATAATGGAAATCCTAGAAGAGCATGTGGTCCCATACGCGGGTTTTGTTGGCGATGGATTTTCATTAATGCTTGACAACGCCCGCTGCCACACTGCATTAATTGTACATGATTACCTTCAAGAGGTCGGGATCTTTGGTATGCGGTGGCCGGCGCAGAGTCCAGACATAAACTCGATGGAGCACTACTGGGATGTTGTAAAACAGCGAGTGCGGACTTGTGATCCTGTCCCAACCACACTGCAAGAACTCGAGGAGGTTGTCATTGAGGAATGGGACAACATTCCTCAAGAACGCATTATTACGTTGATTAGATCAATGAAAGACCGTATGGAAGCAGTAATTAAGGCAAGGGGTGGTAGCGCTAGGTTTTAGGCCGTTTTAAAACATGTTTTTATTTGATTTTGTAAGTTGAAATAAATCGTAATTTTCTTCTTGTTGACATTAACTTTTTTTATTTCCCGGTAATAACTCATGATAACCATTAACTATTTTTTCTAATAAGTAAATTTAATTACCTTTCCAATGATATACCATACTCATAAACTTACCATTGATTAAACGGATTTAAAAGTAGTTTGAAGTAGAAATTTAAAGAGGTGCGATTTTTGTGACGCCGAGTGTATTATATCACAATTACATTTTAATGATATTTTATCTCAATATTTTAAAAGGTATCTATGTCAAATATAAAAAAATATACTAAATGTATGTTTAACAAAACTTATTAACATAACATTTAAATTACAAATATATTTATTTAAATTAGTATAAGAGTCGTTCGTAAATGGTGGGCACGCAAGAGTTAAAAATGGACGAATTTATCCACTTTGACTTTGATGTGGAAACCTAAAAATAAAATAAAAGAATAATAAGCAGATTTATACATGAAAAATTTAGCCAAATTACAATAACTTATATATGTTTCTACAAAAAAATGTGTATAATAATATATTCGTACTATACTTAAGTACCCACAGAAATGTCGCATCTGAACATGTTAATTTCATAATCTATATTCCATGACACGAGATGGCGTCTTAGGAATAATTTGTTTTATTATTAATCTATAATACTTTTTTATTGATTAAGTATCTTATTAACCGATAGAATTCCTTCCTAGATTCCTCCTAGATTTCCTAAATTCCTTGATTTTTACTGACATTTCTTGAATTATTTGTGCAATATCTAAGTACACACGACGGCATATTTTATCAAGAGATTTTTTTAAGTCAACACAACACGTGACAACTCTACAAGCGCCTAGCGAGTGACTGAATTAAGTGCGGTATATGCACCGCAGGTGAGTGGAACATAGTAGCTGAATTCAGTGTCGCCTCTAGTACGTAGTACGTAATAACTCAATGTGTATTTGCCACAGTTGAAGTTGAAATTCTGGCTACTTTATATACAACGTTTACGAGTTGGTATACCGCCTTCTATCGAAGATCATTAGATCATTCTGGCCTTTCCCATAGACGATTCTTAAGACAACCACGGAACAAAATGGGAAGATTCTCTTACGTTAAAAATAAAATAAATAGATATATTGTACCAAATTATTTAAATATACATTTTAATTTTCACCCTAACCTGGTTAGAAGGTCCAGGAATAGCCAAGTCAACACTTATGCGACTGTTCCGATGTACTAAAGTGCGATGTCCTTGTATTGACGGGTCGTGATTTGTCAGACGATAGCTGAGAGACATTTCATTATTCAATACCGCTTTTGAAGAGTTCACCTGGAAGGTAAGACATGTAAAATGAAAAATAATAATTGAAAAAAAAAGTAATTAAAACTTATTAATTTCCCAGTAGTTATTATTATTAAATTGAGTCCCGATTTTCCAAATTTTTAATTTGTAAAAATTTATACTTAGTAAATATTCATATTCCAGTTATACAGTGTAAACTCTATATAACGACACTCAAGTGACTGTGCCTACTTTAACGTTAAACAGTCGTCGTTAAATGGACTAAAGAAACATCTGTATTAGAAAAAGAAAAAGTATATGAACTAAATCCAAAACGTTTACAGATGTGCAATTTTTAGTAATTTTTGCAACTTAAAAAGTACATTCTGCTATTTAATTATTGTCGTTATTAAGAGTGTTTGTAATATAGAGATTATTATTATTGTATAGAGTATTATTGTATGGTGGACAAGCTAAATCAACCAAAGCCGATTGATTTCGACGCTTTAGAGACGCTTATATTCGTTATATCGGGTGACGTTACATAAGTTTATAAATAAGTTTTTATCGTGATATTTGATTTTACGTCCCATCGTAGCATAAGAGATACCATCACTGATCTCACCCTTTAAGCACTGGATGGAAAAATTAATCAATACAAGCTCTTAACTAAAAAACATGGACTCATTTACACACCTGATGAACACTTTCGTTTTGTTTGTCTGCATGGCGGAATATAGTGAATGGACTGTGATAAAGCGGATTCAGGTCCTTAGTATAAGTTACTCCTGGTATTTGGTAGTCGTCCCATTCAAGGAAGCAAGCCTCCATCGCTGGGTGGAAACCAGGGAAAACTTCATTTTCACTGATGCCATGAATGTAGGGCGAGTGCGTGTGGGCTCTTGAATGCCTCGGATGAGAAGAGGTACCCATGTGGTTGTTACGATTTTTTGCCACCTAAACAAAAAAATCATGGGTTCCATTATTTATGTCCTTTCTAGAAGCATAATATTTGGAAATTTGATTAAAAAATAAGATGATTGATACTTCTCTTGTAACACAGAACCTATAAATAAACTCATTGGTGGTTGCTGTGTAAAAATATCCACTACTCTATGTCAAAATATCCACTACTCTATGTCAAAATATCCACTACTCTATGTCATGTTGTGGGTGTCGTTAGAGGCGACAGAGGGAAACTGAAACTGAAAATGAACAACAGCATCTTCCTGATAATAACTGATAATAAAAACTCGGTTGCCAACTTACCTGCCAAACGTGCAACTATAGTATAAAACCTCCTTGACAGGCGGCAATCTATGGGGAAGGCGTACGTACAGCAGTGGACTATTGATATTCCGTTACGAATAAATTAACGAAAGAAATAAACTCCAAATAAACAATTATGAACATATCAAATAAATTCACTTTCAGACCACAGAGTACAAAAATAAAATAAAAATACATATAATACTTGCCTTGTCTAAAACTTTCATATGCCATTGAGCAAACTGTTCGTGCAGTGTGTCGCGTTCGTGCGGTGCCAAAGCAGGGTTCAGGGCTGCAAGGCGCCATAACACTACCACCTGATAAAAGAGGAACTCATCACAATACCATTTAAACTTGTATAATGATCACGTTCCAGTTGAAGAGATGCTGATTCATAAATTAATAAAATCCCCTATAAAGTTAATTTGAATCAGAAATTCGAACACCGATTCCTGACTCATAATATTTTGGAAACAAGTTGTTAAAGACAAAATCATAAATTTACACTTATAATTACATCGAAACACAATACGCAATTGTATTGTGAGACTTGTCAGTACTTAATGAATCCCTATCAAAGTTACTTAAATAAAATGCAGGCCAATCACACAACACCACATTTGTCAAAAAAGTATCCGATTGAAAATAATAGACCTTTTGTAAAACTATTTTCTGTTGAATAAACATGTTTTTGGTTTAGTATCGCGTTAATATGTGAATGCAATAAGAATCTTTACAGTGTGTGTGAATGCTTATTTCAATTAGTGTAGTTAACTAATTACATGTCGTTCCAATATCTTATAATCCTGCTCGCTGGTGGAGGCTGATATCCGCTCACAGTATATTCACGACAGGAGTTCTTGCCCTGTCGTGTTTGCTTCGCAGGAGTCGACCATCGTTCGACGTAATTCTCCTACAGCATAGAAATGGATATTGAATCAACCTAAGTATTAAATTTCCACTTATAATTCAGAAAAGATTTTCTCTTTCTGAAACCATAACTATCTATTAGGAAAACGTTTAAACAATACCAATTATTATAAAATTACTAATCATATAAATTTGAGAATGTTCTTGTTATATGATTCACGGTCATAGTAATCACGTACTATCTTTCGCCACCTAGTCCTATTAACCATAAACGTAACTCATTGAATGTTACTAGCGTCCAGGTCCAGGGAGGTCAAAAAGTTTGCGGAATGGCGGGGTTAGCGAGGGTGAGTTTACTCATCCATTTTTAGTATATGTACCAAGTTTCAGCCTAATCGGGTCATTAGCTTTTGAGTTATCAACGAGTAAACAAGTCAATCGAGAAAAAAATAGCCATTATTTATTTATTTATTTATTTGGTCTACCAACGACTGTTACATTACAGAAACTTAAAGTAGTTACATTGTAATAAACTATTATGAGCTAAATGCACAATCAGTGACATAAGTACCTTTTACATTGATATAAGGTTAATTTTAAACTAGTTATAATAGGTAAAAGATAGGTGTAATTAATCTGGGATTTTTTTTAACAAATGTGCACGAAACTGGTTAAGTTTAAGAGAGAAAATATCCTTGGGATCATTAATAAACCACGTATTTAATGCGTTACACAGACGAGGAACTGGTGAATGTTTTCCTAAAACAGTCCTATGGAATGGCGGATAAAATAGAGAAACGGATTTCCTTGGAACCTTGAAGGGGATCCTGAAATTAAAAAGGTTTAGAAGCTGAGGTCAGTCAATTTCATTATTAAAAATTTTATAAATGAATATTAGGTCCAAAAGGGTCCTTCTTTTATTCAACGAGGACATTTTAAAGTGTTTGAGGTTTTCATGATAGGATAACTTTTTCTTTGAAACTTTAGAGATGCGAGATAGATGCCATAAAAAGCGTTTTTGGACCCGTTCTATTCTTAATATGTGCGTGGCATAGTGTGGCCTCCATACAACAGGGCAGTATTCAAGAAGACTACGTACTAGTGCTTTGTACAAAGTGATACGTGTCCGTATGTTTTTGATCACTTTACTGTTTCTAATAATAAAGCCCAGCATATTAGATTAGCGCCTAACAATGCTTTCAATATGTGGTACGAAAGTTAATTTTTTATCTAGAATTATTACCAGGTCCTTAATTCTATCAACTTCTTTTAACGGTTTGCCATCAATATAATATTTGGATTTACTTTTACTATGTTTGCGTGTAAATTTAATAAAAAAGCATAGCTGCTTTGCATTTTGAGCATTTTATATAATTGTCATCCTCATTGCCTGTAGAACAACACCCCCATTCCAGGTTTAGCGAAGTCATTTTATTTTATTTTAATGCTCAAAACTTTTAACTTGAAAAGTGCACGGCAACAAATGACCCGTAACCGCCACAAGGAATGAATTATAGTTAATATTCACAATTTAATTCGCACAGCAATAAAATCCCCGAACGCAAGCAGCGTTTGTTTTGTGCGTTTAGTTTCTTAACGTTAAGTAATTCGCGAGAAGGTCTTAAGTGATGCGTGTTTAGAACACGCTTACGCGTTCGGATTGGATGATTGCACTTTGTAAAAATTAACGTAATGTGGGTAAATTCATATTACGCTGCACTTTATAACTTCATTTTTGGGCCATAATTAATGTTTACAGATTAGTATATTGTTGCGCGGCTAAGTTGACATCTGGCACCAGCGCCATCTAGTGTCGGGTAACGGAGCGAGGGGAGAGCTTTCCAGAAAATGACATCACTAATCTTTCAACCGACAGCGCCATCTGTTGTCGAAATGAAGAACTAAGCTTCTGGAAGCTGACCTCGAACTTTCGGCGCTTTGTCGATTGATGCGCGTATTTACTTGAATGTTCTGGATGATTCGGTACTAATGTGTATTTATACTCAGCGATCGGGGAAGTATTGAATTTGGCGAGACAAGCGAAGCTTCGGAGCGGAATAAAGTGAATTAGTGTGCTTAATTATTGGTGTTTTAAACTTTAATTTGTGTAAAGAAAATTAAAGTGTTAATTTAGGTAATCCTATCGGCAATTTTTATTGTCACGAACCTCAAGTCCTTAACAATATTACAAATTTAGTTCACTCGATGTTTATTTTACACATTGATAACTGATCAAAATGTTAAAGTCCACTTTTTACACCAAAACATTAATTTTAACTTTGCGAATTCACAACATAGATGTTATTCATAGGACGGTACCCGACAGACCAATAAATAAATACATAAATAAATAAAGACCAATAAATAAATAAATAAACAAGGGAATGACTCAATTGAAGACGGCCGATTGAGACTACCACGCCAGAAATAATCGAAAAAGTTGAAAAAATTGTATGTAGTTTTTAGTTGGAGTATCAGTATCACCCATTTTAAACATCCTGCATCAACAACTTGGCGTGACTAGTCTGTGCACGATGGGTTCAGAGAATGCTTTCTGCGCATCAAAAACACGCGCGTGTTGAAAATTGTCAGAGTTTTTGGACCGCTGTGGAGAGCAAAGGGAGGAAGTTACAAGGAAGGGAGAAGATATAAATAAAACATGGCAGAATTTCAAACCGTATTTCATCTTTAATTTTACCCCATTATAGGTAGAATTGTCAAAAGTAGTGAAATACGTTTCTGAGTTTTTAATCTCGAGCCTAAGTACAAATTTTTGTCGATCCACATTTTAAGGGTGAATGGATTGCAGATTTTGTAAAGTTCGAAAATATTTATTATCCTTAACTACCATAACTTCGTTTTAAGTATATCCTCACCACCAAGCAAGTTGGCCATTTTTTCCAATACAAACATTATACCCTCATAGTTATATTAACACTTTATGGTTAGATTTTCTAAAAATTGCGTATTTCATCATTTCAATCCAAAAGTAATTATACTCTTTTTTTTTCAAATCAAATGAAGCCAATTTTATGCTTCTATTCTACGTCTAGGGGTTTGAGGTGTGCGACATATCAATATTTTTCACTAGCTGTGCCTGCGACTTCGTGCGCGTGGAATCAGTTCTTTTGCTATTTGTACTAAGTGATGATGATTTATTTATAAATTAAACTGTCGCGAAGACATAGAAAGACACCAATCTGAATAAAAATATTCGGTTAGTCGGTCAATCAGACAAACAAACGAACGAACAAATAAACGGACCCACAAACGAACCAAGAAACGAATAACGGCAAACTGCAAGCTTGTGTTTTATTTTGTAAATAAACAACAAAATGACCGCAAGAACGTAATCCCTAATTTCCTCCTGCTAATACTTGGTTTCTATACAACAAATAATATATTGCCCTAAATAAGCAAGAACCATCACTAATTATTGATATTGAATAAAAAAAATTGAAATGAACTACAATCCAATGCCTACCTAAAAGTACCTAAGTACATACACTAACAAAATATATAAAAATAATAATATTGCTATTATAAATAAAATTGGCGCAGTGACTTAGCAATTAATGGCTGCGTTGGGTCGCGGGTTCGAATCCCGCACGGAAAAAGTATTTGTATGGCTTACAAATAATTGATGTTCGTCCTTGTGCAATTTATGTTTGTAAACTGCCCCGCGATACAGGAGAAGTAACGTTTTTAAGGGTAACGTTTTTAAAAAAATTAAAAAATCTATGTTTTGTCTCATCCTGCAAACAGATGAAAAATAAAGCTAAACTCAACGGGCTTAAGGGGAAATATAACCTCAAATGGCTTAGCAAGATCCTCCGTTATGCCTAAAATATTGCAGCATTAATATTGAAATAAATATATGGTAAAGTTGAGGATTAATGTTAAGGACTATGTTAGACGAAAACACGATTCCGTAAAATTCTCTCGATAGAAAAAAAAATCCAAAGTTACCTCCACAATAAACAATAAACGGCTGTTATTCATAAAATACTTTAAATAAGATCATGAAACTTTGCATACTAACTAAACTAACTATAAAGCAGTGCTTATGTTATTTACTTTTTTAAATACCATTATTTTCACTGTAAAAAGAAATTACCTAAACTATCGGCGTATTGAAGCTTGATTCCTGTCGCCCGGTCAGTTTCGCTTCGGCCTTTGAAGGGGGAGGTTGTGTCGCTTACGATCAGAATACACATTACGCAACAGGACGACGTAAAATTAAAATGAGAAATAACCGTAATAAAAATAAGAAGCGACTGGGTTGGCGTTAAGAAACAGGCATAAATATGATAAACCTAAGGAAATAAGTGTCTAACGACCTATCTACTTACAGTATTAGTGATTACAAACATGTCGGTACATAGCATACGACGCGCGGGGAAGTGGTGGTGAAATTAGAATTTGAGCTGACTTACTATATCCCCTTAAAATCAGTTGGATTTTCTATCAAGAAATTCTCAGTAGCAGCCCGGAGTCAAGAGTTTAGCAGTGTTTCATCCCTATGCATTAAAAGGCACGTTAAGCCGTTTTATCGGTATCTGATCTCATTTTGGTCGGATTATTAACTCGGACACAATGATAAATAGACAATTTTTAATATTTTGTATATAATGATCAATAATAGGGACAGATTTTTGTTCTATAGTAAGTATTATTCTAGTTCTATAATAAGTATTATTCGTAATTATCATAATTTCGTTTTACGGATTTCCCAACCACCATGCAATTAAAAACCATTTTTTCACACCATGTGAGATATTAGAAAAATGAAAAAAACTAATTGCATCATTTTAATCTACAATACATACAATTACAGTAATAATAACAGTTACAATAATAATTTAATAATTTTTCCCTATACCAATATGAAATCACTATGTCAAAAACATTCTTTAAACCTTATTTTACTATCTAAGGATTTTAGTTTTTCAAGATTTCTTTCTTAGTGGATGCCTACTTAATAAAAGAAAGTTATTGTTCCAGTTCAGTCCACGCATCTACATACAGCGGTTTGAGTTGTAGATATAATACAATATTCTTCATACAAAATTTGAACCCTTCCTAGATGGACTCCTAAACTACTTAACCGATTTTAATCAAATTTGCACACCGTGTGCAGTTTGGTCCAACTTGAGAAATAGGATAGTTTTTTTGCCCATGAGTGACCCACAGTTATTTTTGCTAATTTAAGGATTTTTAATAAGACACGACAAAGGATCGTTGAAAAGGACAGAACAACGTCTGCCTGGCAAGCTAGCAGAACTCCATTTTACATTTTTTAATTACAAAATGTCCTTAATCACTAAACGCCATCATTGAACAAATTCGTACCTATATATCGTACCAATACTTCAGAATATTAATCATAACTTTTGATAGGATGAACTGATTTTAATAAAACAAATACTAAATTTAAAACGAAGATACGCTTAACAATTTTATTATTTTAATATTAATCAGTACTTTATACATGATACGTTAACAAACAAACAGACAGACAGATAGATAGATAGATAGATATGTGATAAAAAGTGATAGAGGCACGCTTCGAAGTTTAAGAAATAATTTACAAAAACGTGCTAGTTTGTGTTTAGAAAGAAATTGTAGACATTTTGAACAATTACTGTGATATCGCTAAAAAGGTAATTTTTATTAGTAAATTGACAGAAAAACTCAATAAATTGATTTTTGTCCCGAACCGCGATTCGAACCCAGGACCTCATGCTCAGCTGTCACTCTACTACAACCACTAGACCAAAGAGGCAGTCAAAATCAAAAATCAATATCAAAAGTGCCTAAATACTTATAAGAAAAATATTTTTTTGTTAATGTTAGGCGCGCGTCAGCTGATTCTAAAATACGACGATGTGTCGGCCGCTGAACTTGGCCACCTGGCGCCTACATAACGGAAGATGTGCATGCGTCCCGCTCGCTCTTACAACTTTCATTCACTAGATGAATTGTTTTTATGTATTTTTTGGATATTCGGAAATTTTACCTATCTAGTTATACTTTGTTATATTTTACAAATACTTTCGAGGATAGCTTCTATTCCACTAACACAAAAACCATATTATTTTCCGGACGGTAAAATAGTCACCCAGTATATGCATCAATTTTCAACGTAATAGACAGTGTACGTAGTAGAGCCATGCCGCAGTTATATTAGTAGTATAGTTGTAGCACGAATAGGTCGACTCGACCGGGGAAGGAATACGTTCTCACAAAATACGAGCGTAAAATAGCAGTTTAATGCTGCTGTGTTTCGTATGGTGAGTGTAGAGAACTGGAGATCCTTTTTATTGGAAACGAGGCATTCCATCTTAGTCTTTACGGGTGACAACGCAACTGCATTTTAATTAAAGGGGAATTACATACGTTATAAAAGGTACATACTGTCCAAGTTTCAGACTTCTACGTCTCTACGTCTTCTACTACAGGTATATGAATGTGAGTGTAGTGAGCGCAGAATAGATTTATATTCAAAAATTTTGCTGATTGCTTAAAAACCATTAATTAGTCTTTCTTATTTAGAAAATCTAAGTAGTCATTCAAAAAATGGTATAACAAACAAACGAAAAGTAAGACACATAAAATTCTTTCAACTATGCTTGTTACACTCTGTTCAGCAGACTAGGGATGGAGAGTATAGCATTGCGAAGTCACAGCCTAGAAGAACATACAGTCAGTCAACGCGTTTGATGTTATCGGAAAAGCCGTCATAAACAATAAATTGCTAGGATTGTCAGAACGGAAATTAATGAAAAAATTAAAAATATATTTTATTTTATATCACGTATAAACAAATTAAATAACTTAATCAGAATATTTATTTTCAGTAATCATAAATATACTAGGTTTAACAAGTAGAGTTACAAAAAAAATAATTATAAAAAATTGTAACTGTCGAATACAATATGAGCAGTTTTGTAAATTATTTTTGAGTAACAACTTATTTAACACTTATATTATTATCGCACATGAAGTGTGAACCATTTTAATTTATTTCGTATAACAGGTTACAACCATAGGGGACAGTTCCCGAGCTACTAACAGCCGCTCGGGAACTTTCCGCCCGCGTCTCGCCCCTCACTCCACCACACGATTGCCCCGTCTAGACGCCTTCGATGACCGACTGTCAGTAGTAGTTATGCTGGTGCCGCATCTGCGTCTATCACCACAAACCGACACGATACACTCAGATGTGACCGGCTATTATCGACTATCGTAGCAAACATTCGGGTTATGTGTGCGTGTGCGGATGTTTTCGCGATACATCAAAGGGTTTTAGTGCGTCAACATATCGCGCTGCCTGGTCAGACTAGCGTTGTTCATTTCGGCCGTTGTTTTCGATCAGTTCAGACGCATGCAGGTGGCTGTGTAAAAATGGAGTGGTGTGATGAAATAGTACTGGAAGTCCCCTTTTTAGATTTTAGGTTTCTTCTTTTTAGATTTTAATAAATGCATTATGTAATTGTTAGCACACATGTAGAAGTAAAGACATTCTTCGTCCATAGTTAAACGTTTGAAAATGATTACGGTCATCTGGGATTATTGCACGATAGTTCATGAAAAATATCGAAGCCGCTAATATGACCACAGCTTTCATCGCGATACCTTTTTTGTGTCAAAACGTACGCAGCTTAAAACGAAGCGTAAAACGCACGTATTACTTCGGGACGATACACGCAGGTGCGGTCGAAGCATTATAGGCATACCTATCATTATAAGTGTTGAGCAAAATTTCAACTTATCCATTCTTGATTGTGGACTGTATTAAGGGTTATATTTTTTTATATGAAACAAGTTTTTTTTTATGAAAAAAAAAAACATAAGTAAAACTAATATTTTCATTAGTAGCGATCAGCCCAGACTTCACGCGGATAATTTCTGTATCTCTAAAACAGCGCCACCAGCGGACCAGCGGTCCGAATGTGAATCTAAACCATTGAGGAACCCATTCAAACATACACAAAAAGTTTCAACTAAATTGGTCGAGCCGTTTTTGAGTTTTAGCGAGACTAACGGACAGCATTTGATTTTTAGATGTCAAAGATATTAAGCACAAAACTCAGACCCTTCCTCTCCTTACATGTGACGAAAACGTCCTTATACTGGGTATGTTCCAAAATAGTACCCAGTGTACTGTCTTAGCAAATGACGTCATAAATCGACGCTATACTGGTGATTCGTTCCAAAACATAGGACAGTATATGACGTCATACATTTGCGCCATATTGGAAAAGTGTTGGCGATTATTTTGTCATTTTGTGCATAAAAAATCATTATATCCTCCTAATGGAAATACCAGCAATTATTCTATAATTTTTTGTATTTGAATAAATAAAAACAAATTCTGGCATGCTTCATTCAGCGCACACACAATTAAAAATTGTTTTGTTATGGCCGGATATCCGACGCAATATGGCGGCGGCACGCCAGTACAATATAGGGTGCGTTTGGCAGAAAAAAGCGCTAGCAAGCGCTTGTAAGCAAAATGGCGATCGTAAGCGGTAAGCGCTGTCAAATCGTAAGTAGCTATTTTCCTCCAGGACACGATGTTAGTTTCAACCGGGGAACCTAACCTAATTTAAATATATGTTTGTAAAGTATTCATATTAAAAACTTACCAATCATGAATTTTTAATAACATGTATATGTTTATTCATGTCATTATATTACTTAAAACTAATATTGCGCAAAACAACTTATAAACTCTACTTCAAAACAAACAAATTAAATAAGCAAAATGGCGGATTGTGTCAGCGCTACTGAAGTAGAAATCGTGTCCTTGCCGAAAACTATTTCAGCGCTTATAAGCGCTTGCTAGCGCTTTTTTCTGCCAAACGCACCCATAGTGTCAATTCATGACGTCATTTGTATTCGGCAGTATACTGAAAACATTTCGGAACATACCCACTACAGGCATTTGGTTTGCAAAATTCTTTGTGAAAATACATATTTTGGGCCCACATTTAGGTTGTCACTAAGAAGTCGATGGATGCAAGTGATGAAGGTGGCTAAGGACCATGCTTTGTGGCTTTACTTGGAAGAGGCCTATGCATATCAGTGGACTTGTAACAGGTTATAATGATGATGATGATGATGAGACGGTCGACGCTAAGTACCTCATACATAATTAATCAAACGAGCGAACAGTCCACCTGGTGGATTACTATTTATATACTACAATGTATAAACAGTACCAATAAACTTTCAAAAAGTCTACAAATGCTTTTTCACTCTTAATAACTAACGAATATCTCATAATCTGTACTCGTAATCTCTATCTTATCCTTTGAACCCCGGTACAGCAGTGAATGCACTGCTGCAGCAATAGATAAAAGAATGGGATTGTTCATAAATATATTCTCTGACATGTTCACAGTAGGACAGAAAGCGAATTGACCGTATCGCACAACAGATCCTGAGACTCTCATAAAATTTTTCATGTATTCAAATAAATATCTATTTTTGTATGTTTTTAAAATAGTAAAAATTTAATTCAAAACTAAACTTAGTAAATTCATATTATAGTGTAGCATTTTATTAATGAAGAAGAATTTCAACTAACTACATTTGTGGCTCTATAGAAACGATTTTTTTTAATATAATTATAGCCTGACCAGGAACCTGAAAAACTTCAAATTCAAATTCAACTAAATACCTCGTCACATAGTGATGAGCAGGCGTGCTGAGCTGAGGAGTTGCCACCGCCACCGCCATGCTTGCCTCCCCCCGTGCCCCCCTCCCCAAGCCACTAACGCCGCTTTAGTGCTGTACCACCACACTATTATCTGTTGATAAAATTTGAACTGGATAAAAAAACAGTCAAAACCTGGAAACTAAAATTAAATATTATCGAAAGTATTTTTTTTTTACTTTCACTTCTGGTACGGAAGAAACCTCTGTCCTGGAAATGACCAGTAAGAAAACCAGCAGATTTTTTTTTTAATTTTTACTATAATTAAAATTAATTAATTTATAAATTTTATCCCTATTCCTTAATTTTTATATTTATACATATATATATATTTACTTGGTTTAATATCGTAAGTCAAGACATTAATTTCTTTTGTTTCAACAATATCAAAGCATTATTAAAAAAACGCAAAGATTCTTCCAAACAAATTAACGAGGCGTAAAATCGTTATAAACAAAAAGCTCAACTGCACACAGTGTCATTTACCTGTTCACAGGCCATGACTTCCTCAGTGATGATTTCTAACAAAGGTATAGCATTCCTGTCGTTTCGTTTGAACATCTCTCTTACAATAGAGAGGAGGTTCCACATTCCCTCAGGCTCTCGGCCTCTTAAGGGCCGTAGAAGTGATGACCATTCTGCTGCAGCAGGAGGTGCACTAGTGCTTAAATAATTAACATCACTGAAACAATAATAGAAATGATTAATGTCTGTAAATTAGATGCAAATGGAAAAAACAGCAATTAAGTAAAAGTGCATTTAATAAAACTATAGTTTTATTGTAATTAACATCACTGAAACAATAATAGAAATGATTTATCATCATCATCATTATCATCATCATTACAGCCCTTCACAAGTCCACTGCTGAACATAGGCCTCCCTCAAGTAGTGCCGCAAAGTACGTTCCTGAGCCACCTGCATCCATCGACTTCCTGCATGTCTTACCAGGTTGTCACTCCATCTAGTGGGGTTCGCCCTACACTACGCCTACCGGTACGAGGCTGCCACTCGAGAACCTTTCTTCCCCATCGGTTATCGGTTCTTCGAGCTATATAGCCGGCCCATTGCCACTTCAGCTTACTAATCCGTTGGGCTATGTCGGTCACTCTGGTTTTACTGCGGATATCCTCATTTTTGAGTCTATCACGCAGAGAAACTCCGAGCATAGCCCTCTCCATAGCTCACTGAACGACCATGAGCGATCTCATACGGCCAGCAGTGAAAGACCACGTCTCAGATCCGTAAGTCATCACTGGCAACACGCACTGGTTGTACACTTTAGTTTTCAGAGATTGAGGTATACCTGACGAGAAGATGTGCCGTAATTTCCCGAACGCTGCCCAGCCGAGTTGAATCCGTCGATTGACCTCTCGGTCGAAGTTGGACTTACCTAGTCGGATTATTTGTCCCAGGTAAACTTACTCGTCCACAATTTCGAGCTTAGTGCTCCCAACAACTACCGGCATAGGTGTGACATTAAACATGATCTTGGTTTTGTCCATGTTCATCTGAAGACCTATCCGTTGGGAGGCACTATTGAGGTCATTGAGCATAGTGCTAAGGTCCTTCAGCAATTCTGCCATAAGGACTATATCGTCGACAAATCGAAGGTGAGTGATGTACTCGCCATTGATGTTAATATTCCTTTACAATCCAGTAGCTTGAAAACGTCTTCCAACGCAGCGGTGAAGAGTTTCGGGGATATAACATCACCCTGTCTTACACCTCTCTGCAGTTGGATAGGTTTCGTACTCTGGTTCTGTACTCGGATAGCCATCGTAGCCCTACGGTACATACACTTCAGCACTTCAATATACCGACAGTCAACTAGGCACCGCTGAAGAGACTGTAGCACCGCCCAAATTTCGACGGAATCAAAGGCTTTCTCATAGTCCACATACGCCAGGCAAAGTGGCAGATTGTACTCTTCGGACTTCTGTACAATTTGCCGAAGGGTATGTATGTGGTCTATGGTAATGAAGCCTTTTCGGAAACCGGCTTGTTCGGGAGGCTGGAAGTCGTCGAGTCTGCGTGCGAGACGATTCGTAATGACTCTCGAAAACAGCACGTAGACGCGGCTCAGAAGGGAAATCGGTCTGTAGTTCTTCAAGAGAGCGTTGTCGCCTTTCTTAAAGAACAAGACCACCGCGCTTCTGCTCCACGCCTCCGGAGTAATGCCACCATGGAGGACGGAATTGAAGAGCTTCTGAAGGACTTCAAGTACCGGTGTTCCACCCGCTTTCAGAAGCTCCGCTGTAATTCCATACTCGCCCGGGGCCTTGCCGTTTTTAAGGTGGTGGAGAGCCATTCTAATCTCGCTCAGACTGACGTCCGGGATATCATCGGAATAGTGTCGGACAAGACTTGCTCTTGGATCGTTACACTTACGTGTGGCTCCAACGATGATGTGTACAGCTGCCCATAGAACCTCTCAATCACATTCAGAATCTCAGGTGTCCCGGAAATGACGCTGCCACACTTACTTTTCAGCTTTGACAGTGGACAGTGGCTCTTTCTGGCAGACAGATCTCTGGCAAAGACTTTGGAGCCCTGGCTCCGCTCGATCGCCTCTTTAATACGAGCAGTATTAAAGTTGCGTAAGTCTCGCCGCATGCATTTGGAGATCTGTCTGTTCAGTTGCCTGTATGCTGTCAAATCTGTTGACGATTGCAGCCTCATCTCCCGTCTAACAGCCATGAGATTAAGAGTGTGATCGGAGAGTTTTTGTGTTCTTCTGCGGTGGGTCTTGGAGAACTTAGCTCCGACCGCATAGACAGTTTCCACGAGCTTGTCACTCATATCGTCCACTGCATTGCGATTCTCTAGGCACTGAAAGCGGTTACGTAACTCGAGCTGAAAGGTTTCGGGATTCTGGATTAGAGCACGAGAGGGACGGAGCGTTGACTTCATTAGACGAGACCTCTCCAACTTAACGTTTAGGTACAGTGTGCCCCTAACCATTTGGTGATCGCTGCCAGTTTTCACCCTTGCGATCACTGAGACATCACTGAACAGTTGGCGTCTGGTCGTCATAATGAAGTCAATCTCATTTTTTGTCGAACCGTCGGGGCTCGACCAGGTCCACTTCCTGTGGGGCCGCTTCTGGAAGAAAGAGTTCATCATAAAGAGTCCCTCTTTCTCCATAAAGTCGGCCAGCTGCTGGCCCCCTTCGGTTCCGTTCGGTACTCCAAATTTCCCTACCTTCAGCTCACCGCTTTCTCTTGTGCCTAGTTTTGCGTTGAAGTCTCCCATCAACACCGTGTAGTGGGTTTTGGAGGAATGCATGGCTCTGGAAATATCCTCATACATTTCCTCCACCTCCTTATCGGGATGTGCCGAGGTTGGTGCGTAAACCTGTATGACCTTCAGTGAATACCGTTTGGTGATTCTGAGTATCAGGTACGCGACCCTCGTCGACACACTCCCAATCTTTACAACGTTGTTGACGAGAGACTTGTGCAAGATAAATCCGACACCTCCTTGGGACAGATGGTCGCCCTCCCGGTGATAGAACAAGTTGCCGGACTCGAGGATCGCCGTGTCCTCCCCCTCTCTTCGGACCTCGGATAATCCAATAATATGCCAGCACAACTTGTCTACCTCTTCTTCCAGCTCCAGTATCTTCTCGTCAGTCCTCAGGGTGCGTACGTTATATGTTGCCAGGTCGAGTCGTCGTAGGTGGCAACTGAACCTCCACCGGAGATTCTTAGCACCAACTGCCCTGCCGTTTCCATGGTCGCCACCGTAGCCAGGAATAGCGGGGCCGCCGGGGACTGGGGGCCGTTTGTTTGCGTCGTTATTCATGGGATATTTGCCATAGTTGCCACGCTTGGCGAGCGGGTTGGAAACAGCAGTTTTTTATTATATCACACTTGTTATCAGGAAGATGCTGCTGCCCATCTCCTGCCTGTGTCCCTCTGTCGCCTCTTACGACACCCACGGGAAGATATGGGGTAGTGGATATTCTCTACCGCCACTAAACGGCAAATAGAAATGATTAATGTCTGTAAATTAGATGCAAATGGGAAAAACAGCAATAATTTATATTTAACGGAGACTCTTTATGGTGGTAGGATAGAGAGTCTAATAAAAGTTAAGTAAAAGTGCATTTAATAAAACTATAGTTTTATTGTACTGAGTTGCCCAAGGTGACTTAATAGAATATTTATTAATAGGCGTTCATTATCATGCTGGCCTTTACAATATACTCTTTTGACTTAAGATTTTATTTTTAATCAATACCTACATTATGTACCAACGCGTAGCTTAGTAGTCGGTTCGAATTCTGGGCCCTGGCGGAGCTAACATTTATTCAAAAACATGCAATGACTAAATTTAGAATGTAGCGTCTGAGACTTGTCAGACACCACATTTTCACGACGTCATGTCTCTGAATCTATGTTTTAGCCTATCTCTGATTTTTTTGCACAAGTGTTACTTCGCGCATGAGGGAATTAAGAGAATGAGTTCCAATATTTTAGCGTGTACACTTATGGCACCATGGAAAGCATCCGATTATTCGGAAGTAGTTACCATAGTTTAAAATTGGCATAGCTAGCAACATCATCAACACTATTATTGATATATTGAAATAATATCCAAAAATAGTATTTTTTTATTTCCCCGTATAAAGGTATAAAAAAGGCATATGTGGTAGATCCACGCTGTAGCTATATTATGGTTGTAACAGTAATGAGTTGGCTTCACCAGGGAAGAAATAAATTCTCGCAAAATAGCAGCTTTTCGTATGATATAAGAACCAGAGCCCCTTTTCATTGAAAACGCGGCTTGCCATCTTAGTTCTCAGGTGTGACAACGAATCTGCATTTTGATTCTTAATAGAGTATAAAAGAATGTAGATGTCTATGGGCCAAAGCTTCCACTTACTATCTCAGGTGAACTGCGTGCTAGTTTGTCACCCTTATTCTATAAAAAAGAGAACAAACAAGGGAATATTATATGTCTACGTACTCAAACTTACCTAAACACAATAGGCGCTGGAACACAAAACTTCACTAATATTTTATTGATGTTGTTGTGCAAAGTTTTTTCGTCGAGAAACCATGAAGTATATTCGTAGGCCGAAGCGCCCGCAGTTGGATCTGGCGCTCCACACGTAGCATTGATTTGGTTTGGTTGGGCTGATAACAATTCATCTAGTATCCGTTGAGCAGTTGGTAGGACTTGTCGTGGTAGTTCTGATATGAGGTACTGTGCAAACTTCTGAAGCTGATCTCTTCGCAGTCTTTGTAATGATTCGGACACTGGTGCCCTGAGGCACACTTGCGTTGGCTGTCAAGGTAATAATATCACTACAGTACACTAACAATATTATTCCTTCAAACAATTGGGAAATTACCATTGAAACTAAAGGTTTGCCTCGAAACTGGATATTTCACGATACGCCAAATAAGTGATCGTATCTTTTTACCTATAAAAATATCTTAACATAGGAGAGGTAGCTAACTCAAGGAAAAATACTATCTTTGTTAACCTCTCCAATTTCATTACAAAATAAAGGATTCAAACTTAGGCTTGTGTATTTGTGTTTCTAGTGACTAATTTGAGTTTTCTTTGACATCTTCATGTTCACAATATCGAAAACTTAAAATATCGCGTTATTTACGAATACAAGTTCCATCGCGCCAACAGCGCTGCAGAAACAGCTCAAAGAATTAATAATGTGTGTAAGCTACTGTAAAAGAAAACACAGTAGATTTTTGGTTCCAACGTTTTTTTTCGGAATAACGACGGCCGGATACCCTAGTTGAATAAAAAGTGATCGTGGAAGCGGATCGATCACGAAACCATGTCAGGGTAAGCAGCAACCTTCGGTGTGATTGATAAAACAATTTTAATTCACTTGAAACAAACTGGAAAAGCGAAAAGAAGGATTTCAATGTCTCTCTTATTGTCACGATAGGGATATTCGATCTTCCTATAATAATAAGCTTTATATTCCTACTCATCTACTTCACTGTTCAGGCTGCACTTCTCTGGAATTCCTTGCCTGATGATGTCAGAAAAGCGCCTAACAAATACTCCTTTAAAAAGATGGTACGCGAGCATTTACTGAAGAATTATTAGAATTACAATATTGTTAAATAATGTTAGGTCCTTTCATATGAAATTGGCGTTTTGTACGGGAGGAATATAAAGTCTTTTTTTTTTTCTAAAATAGATTTAATTGATTTTTAATTAATTTGAGGGTCATTGTAGAAGCGTGCTCGTCTCGACCCCTGCCAGCCCTTTTCAGGAGGGCTGCAATTCTACACAGCTGCGCACCCATGCAAACGAGGGTTAGGGCGTCCCCCCAAGGCGACGCACACCAGCTCGTCCCCGTTGGTGTGGAATGCAGAGCGCAAAGCGGCGATGGGGACCGCCACCCGTCACGCACAGCCCGACACGGCGGAAGGTGGAGGACGGAGTGCAGAGTTGGCATGTGGAATGTTAGAGGGGGCATGAGAGATAAGACGAATGAGTTGATCGAAATAATGAAAGAAAGATAATTAGATGTCGTGTGTATGTCGGAGACCTAACGGAAAGGCAGTGGTACTGAAGAGCTCCCTGGCGGGACGTTAGCTATATGGTCCGGAGTCCCGGAAAGCGAGAACGCCTGCCAGGGAGTAGGGGTCCTGTTGTCGTCCCGGTTGGTCGATCTTATGACTGAATATAAGGTTGTGAACTCAATACTTCTCTGAGTTCGCTTTAAACTGGGACTGACGAAGTTATTCCTTTTGGCTGTTTATGTGCCAGTAGCTTCGTGGTCCAGGGCTGAGCTGGAGGAGTTTTGGGAGAATGTAAGAGAAGTTCTAGATTTGGTTAAGGGAAACGAAAGAACTGTTGTATGTGGTGATTTGAATGGATGGGTAGGTATCGCTCGTCCAGGGTACGAGTCGGTGCTTGGAAAGTTTGGCCATAAAAGGGTTAATGATACTGGCAAGCTAATACTGGCTGTGTGCAAGGAAAAGGGTCTTCTTGTTCAAACACTATGTTTAATCACAGGAAAATCCATATGTACACTAGAGAAAGAAAGAATGTGAGAAGTATGATTGATTTGTTCCTGGTGGATGACCGACTGCGAAAACAGGTGATGGATATACGAGTGTTCAGGGATGCTGACCTGGGAACGGATCACTATCTAGTAATTACTAGATTTAGGAGTTTGTTCGCGGGTTGGCGCTAGCGGATAGCAGTAACAGAACCACAGTCGGTCTGTCGCATCCGAAGCTGGAGGCGTCACGAAGCGGATACTAAGGACAAATATCACACGAGGGTAGCCGAAAAGCTTGACACCATCGATGGCAGAAAGGAATGAGTGGATATAACATGGCAGAACCTTAGGGATGGAATGGTAAATGCAGCGGAAGAAGTATGTGAAACGACAAAAAGAGGTAGTAGTAAAAAAAGAGATGCATGGTGGAATGATGAAGTGAGAGAAGCTGTAAAGAAGAAGAAAAAAGCATGGTTAGAATACTTGGCCTCTAATAATGATAAGCATATGAGAGAGAAGATGAAAGAAAGATATAAGCTGCAGAAAGTTGATTGAGGAAGTACGTGAAAGGTGTAGAATAGAAGCGGACGAAAGGTTGTCGCACAACTTTAGGGAAAACTCCAAACTGTTCTGGAAAGAGGTTGGAAGGTCCCGGAGTGGTGCGACAGCACGCCAGACATGGACCTCGATGATACTGAGGTCATCAGCATGAAAGAGATTGAACGTGCGATTCAAAGTTTGAAATGTGATAAGGCTGCGGGACTAGACAGAGTTACCGCTGAAATGGTCAAGTACGGTGGGCCTCGCGTCTGGGACAGCTTTCATCTGCTGTGCAATTTGTGCTGGCGGACGGGAGGTGTCCCGGATGATTGACGATCCGCGGTCATTGTGCCTTTATATAAAGGTAAAGGTTCACATTTTGACTGCGGGTGCTATCGGGCGATCAGCTTGACCAGTTTAGCAAGTAAAGTTTACTCGAAGTTTTTGACACGTAGGATGCAAGAGAAATTGGAAAGATCCTTATGGGAGGCACAATGCGGATTTAGACCTGGAAGAGGATGCACGGATCAAATGTTTTCTCTCCGCATGACCACGGAAAAGCTTCTGACTGTTAACCAGAGGATTTTCTGTGCTTTTGTGGATCTGGAGAAAGTATTTGATAAGGTTATAAGGAAGAAAATGTGGGAACTGTTGCCGGAATATGGTGTGGATGGTCGATTGTTAAGGGCTGTGCAGTCACTTTACTATGACTGTAAAGCCTGTGTGCGGGTAGGGCATGACCTGTCACCCATGTTTAGCGTCCAAGCGAGCGTAAAACAGGGTTATGTCATGTCTTCCTGACTATTCATACTGTATCTCGACAGCTGTTTACAGAAGGTGAAAAATAGTTGTTTGGGTGTGAAATTGGGTGACATTAAAGTAAAATGTTTGGGCACGTTGAGCGAATGAGTGAAGACCGAATGTTGAAGAAAATATATAGCGCGAAAGTAAATATTAAAAGGTGTTGAGGTAGACCGACACTAACTTTCGAAGACCATGTGAGCAAATTACTCGAAGAGGGGAAGGTCAAGAGTACTCGGATACCTAGACGTGCATGTATGAAGAAGATAATGAACCTTAAAAAAGCGAAAGAGGTATGTAAGGATCGTGACACTTGGCGATCTGTGCTCTCTGGCTACCCCGTTAGGGATTGTGCGTGAAGATAAGTAAGTAGGTTTAATTAATCAAAGTATGCACCGTTGTTATCTATGCACCTTTGCCATCTCATAGGTAGTTCATTGATCCCTGTACCAAAAAACCATAGGGGGCGAGAATCAATAAACTCTTTGAAGGCGGTTTGGACTGCCGCATCGGAGTTGAATTTTTTTCCTTGTAAGTTGTCCAAATTCCGGAAAAAATGGTAATCTGTTGGAGCAATGTCCGGGCAGTACGGAGGATGTCGCAGACATTGCAATTGTAACTCATCTAACTTAGTAGTTGTTTGTTGTGCAGTGTGTGGTCTTGTGTTGCCGTGAACCAGCAGTGGCCTAGAGCGATTGAACAATCTCGGTTGTTTGGCAGCTAGTTCATCCTTCATGGTTTGGAGTTTCTGACAATAGATATCGGCCGTAATCGTTTGGCCAGATTATAGAACATATTTTAGTGAACGACACCGGCGTTAGTCCACCAAACACTCACAAATAACTTTTTCTGAGTCTATTTTCGGCTGAGTCTCCAGGGTTCAGCCATTGCGATAAGCGCTTCCGATTATCGATTTAAAATCCCTTCATTTTTGTGTCGGTTGAGCAAAGTAACACAGCCGTCGACGCGTGTTTGCAAGTTCGATTCACTCAATTCGTGAGATATCCATCGTTCAAGGTTTTTTACTTTCCCGATTTGCTTCAAGTGGATGAATACAGTTTTATCACTTACCCCGAAACCTGCAGCTATCTCTGAAGTGCTTATTAAGTTATTTACGATATTTCATGTTTTCCATTGTCGGGAATAAGCGACGCCAAAGAAAAAAATAATGAGGAAAAAACAAACGAATGACTATTTTCAAAACTCAAATGTACCAGCTAAATGAATTTATAAATTTTAATTCGGAATTCTTAACCAGATCAAAGGAGGAGATATTTCAGATCAAATTGGTCAGTACGACAAAACGCTAATTTCGTATGTAAGGTCCCAATATTTACTTACAATATTATATCATGATCAGTTTTGTTACATATAATATGTATTAATTTTAGTTTCTCTTTTTTTTCTTTTCTTTTAATTGCTACACCTACGAAAAACTCTCACCACTCCATGGGTTGACTGGTAGAGAATGCTTCAAGGCATTAAGTCCGCCCTTTGTATCCTTTTTTTTTCTAAGGGGACGCAAAAAAGTTTTTAAAATAAAATAAATAAAATCTCGAAAAATGGGTATCACATGAATTGAATGAAGCACGTGAAGCAGTGGTAGCTCAGATGGTTAACGCTCGCTGTAAATATAACAGAACGCGAGTAACCCGGGTTCGATCCCCGCCGGCACCAATGAAATTGTTAATTGCAATTTTAAGTGCTGATTTACCACGTGCTCGGCGGTGAAGGAAAACATCGTGAGGAAACCTGCATGTCTGAGGAATAAGAAAAAAAAATATTTCGAAGACATGTGAAGTTCGCCAACACGCATTAGGGCAGCGCGGCGGACACTTCCTTGCCCTAAAACCCTCTCAGAAAATGAGGGGAGGCCTGTGCCCAGCAGTGGGACTTATATAGGCTGTAACTTTTACTTTACTTTTACGTGAAGCAGTAAGTGCGTTACACTACTCAACCGTCACCATAACGAGGGGATTTTTAATCGTATCGTTAATACTTAGATTGATTAAATATATAATTTCAAAAATTTTTTTCGTTCTGCTTTTTCCATATGACAAACCAATTTCATACACGTGGAAGACATTAACCTCTTCTTCTCCTTCTGGGGAAGTCAAGTAAAGTGGGAAGAACCATATGTGTAACTAGCGGTTTTGGCAGCGCACGGCAGAATAGCTCGCAGTTGGTAGATTTTTCCTACTTACTTGACACTTATCGTCATATTTTGGACAATTCACACAGTATCTTTATAAATTGTGTCCTAGGTATTATTCTGGTGTATAATCTATATTATTGTAGTTTCATTAAAATCCATTCAGTAGTACTTGTAGTTTACGTGAAAGAGTAACAAACATCCATCCATCCATACTTACAAACTTTCGCGGTTATAATATTAGTAGGATTATCAGTTTTATTTTATTTTAATATGATTATGACTTTTAGTAATTTTGTTAACCTGAAACTAAATCTAATTACTTTCTTCATAATCAAAGTTTTAGTATTTACAGGATGTAAATAAGACCCAGACCACACGTGGGTGAAAAATGTGGTACATTTGCAAATCCTTAGTGTCTATAATTGGCAAGTTGTTTTATTACATTTTTTAAAAACGATTCCAGCAAAATTTACAGCCATCAAAAATGAAAACTATATAAAGCTCCTAACATAAAACCTCGAAAGATTTTTGGTGGGTATGTTCCTCTTAACAAAACAACAAACATTTATTTGCACTAAGTAATATTTAAGCATTTAAATTTTACATTATTTAATTCCAAACAGAATTATGCTCATTCGTTAAATGACTAAGTAAACTAATCCTATTATCCTATATCCACATGAGTCAAATATATATATATATTAAAAATAAAATTATTATATATATATATATATATATTTATATATATATATATAATTAATGACTCATGTGTAACTTGTCACAATATGTAAAATGACATTTAGTAGTATACAGAACTATGTACAACACTACTGTGTACGTAGTAGAACCACACTACAGCTATATTATGATTGTAGCACGAATGGGTCGACTCGACCAAGTAGAACTGACGCTCTCGCAGAATACTAGCGAAAAATAAGCGATTAATACTGCTGTGTTTCACATAGTGAGTGTACAGAAGCGGACGTGGAAGAGAAGCGGGTTTACTGCAAACAAGGCATTCCATCTTAGACTTCAGGGGGTGATAACGTATCTGCATTTTTATTCTTAATTGAGAAGTAGGGTGCGTTTGGCAGAAAAAAGCGCTAGCAAGCGCTTGTAAGTAAAATGGCGATCATAAGCGGTAAGCGCTGTCAAATCGTAAGTAGCTATTTTTCTCTAGGACACGAAGTTAGTTTTAACCGGGGAACCTAACCTAATTTAAATATATGTTTGTGACGTATTCATATTAAAAACTTACCAATCATGAATTTTTAATAACATGTATAATATGTTTATTCATATCATTATATTACTTAAAACTAATATTGCTCAAACAACTTATAAACTCTACTTCAAAACAAACAAATTAAATAAGCAAAATGGCGGATTGTGTCAGCGCTACTGAAGTAGCAATCGTGTCCTGGCCGAAAACTATTTCAGCGCTTGTAAGCGCTTGCTAGCGCTTTTTTCTGCCAAACGCACCCGTAGATGTTTATGGGCTACAGAATCCATTTACCATTAAGTGGAGTTTGTACTTGTTTATTATTTACCTTTATCCTGTAAAAACTACTACTAAGACAACAATAAAATACTCACTAAATGTATCCTGTAGAGACACACGGCAACAATGTGTGAACACCAGTGAGCAGATGATGAGCATGTGCAATTACATGAGGAAATCCTTTGTCGGTCAAATGTTACAGCTACATTGTATTGAGCTCTCGGCATGCTAAGTGTAACTGTTGCTGACAAGTGAAAACCTAAAATAAAAATGTGATTTAAGTTTTTTGCCCGCCATACTATTAACATATATGATAAAGCTTTTGATGAGTGGATAAAAAGATGATGTAGAATTCAGTAAAACTAATTTTCTTCCTGTCCATCTCAGTGGGTGCCTAATCTTTCAGCCGCCAAACATCAATGCGAGCGCTCCTGTGTTCCGTACTGAAAAGTATAGGGAGCCAGGGTAGTTACAGACTATGACGCATTCCATCTTAGTCCTCAGAAGTGACAACGCGTTCGTAGTAGACTAGCAACGAATGTGTGAATTAACGAATGTGTATATTCGGCCACACGCCGAATACCGAATATCCTGCGGCCTAGCTGGCCTAATATTAGGCAAAGTATTCCGCCGGGAAGGTTGTAGTGGTTTATTCAAAACATCTTTTCTCTGAAACTGCTATTACTACTGTCTGAAAATGCAGAAAAAATTGTCTTTCTGCATTATTATAATCTTCCACTTATTTGATCGTTTTTACCCTTCCACTACAACAAAACATTTTACTCGGTATATACTCGGTATATTATTTTATACTCTCTATTCTCTCTCTCTCTATTCTATACTATTTATTATATACTCGGTAAGTATTCGGTATTCGGCCAAATAGTATCTAGATATTCGGTATTCGACCGAATATGATAAAAGTAGTCGAATAGGCCCAATATCGAATAATAGCCGAATATTCGTTGCAAGTCTAATCTGTAGCCTTCTTTAATGTTGGCAGAATATGTCCATGGACTGCAGTAGCCACTTAACATCAAGTGGACTATTGTTTCTTTTGTCACTTCAATTTTATACAAATAAGGTTTTCAAATGCAAAATACACAGTCTATTCAAAAAGTATCGCGAATTTTGTATTTTTTCAAAAAGTAATTATTTATTTATGAATATCTATTTTGTACTCTTCAAAGTAATCCCCCTCGGATATAATGCACTTGTGCTAACGTTTTTTTCAATCCTCAAAGCACTTAAAAAAATCATTTTTCGTGATCTTATTCAGCTCCTCCTTCGATGCCGTCTTTATCTCCTCAATCGTGGCGTAACGTTGTCCTTTCATGGACCTCTTCAGTTTTGGGAACAGGTAAAAAACACAGCGGGTCAGGTCTGGGGAATACAAATTGCGCATCACTTGCACGTAATATTCCTTACTGACCGTACTACCCTGTGGCAAGAACTCATGATGTACCACGCCCCTGCAATTGAAGAAAAGTGTGAACTTCAAGTTCGACCGAACTTTTCGCGCTTTCTTCGGTCTTGGCTCATGCGGCAGCTGCCATTGAGATGATTGAGCTTTGGTTTCCACGTCTTAACCATAAACCCATGATTCGCCACCAGTTATGACCCTCTGGAGCACATTTGGGTCGTCACGGACCGAGTCCAACATCTCCGGAGCAATGTTAACGCGATGCTGTTTTTGGTCGAAATTGAGCAATTTTGACACGAATTTCATGGCGGCCCGTCTCATGCCCAAAAAGTTACTTATAATCGAATGGCACGAGCCGATCTATTTATTAGGATCCTCAGCAACTTTTCTAACGGTGATGCGACGATTAGCCAATAATATTTTCTTCACTTTATCAAAGTTATCGTCTGTTGTTGACGTGCTCGGGCGTCTGGCAGGCTGTTCATCGTTCAAATCTTCTCAGCCCTCTGAGAACGTTTTGTGCCACCGATAGACGTTGCTTTGGTCCACCGTAGCTTCACCATATGCCACAGTCAACATTCGGAATGCGCCCGCGCACTTTATTTTGTTTTTCACACAAAATTTAATAGAGATTCTTTGATCCATTTTTTGGAATAGGCAAAAATCGAAGACGGGCCAAAACATATCCAAGCAAAACAGCTGTCAAAAATTAACTAAACATTCAAATTGGCCAACCTTATCAGCATAAATAAGGGACATGAGTACCAACATAAGGCTACAAAATAATCAGAAATCAAATATACGTAGCCCGCGTAAATTCAAAATTCGTGATACTTTTTGAACAGACCTCGTACAAATTATTTGTCTACTTTAGTGCTGCATTAAATTGTGTTTTATTCTGAATAAACATGACTATATGTATACATTTGCAGCAATATTATGTCCTCTACATAGAGCAACACGGGCCACCGACGGACCGGAGGGGAGTAGCCATACGCAGGCGTTCCTCTGTCAAAGTATCCTACCACAAAGTCCACGCGGTACTACCTATGTGTGCAATAAAACTAGTTGCAGCCGCACTCCTCTCTAGACTACATCTAGTTGCGGTGCTGAATCGAAGTAGTCGAAAAGAGATCTGTCACATCAAATTTTCAAAAAGATGGCGATAAATTTCATATATATATATATATATATAAATATATATATATATATATATATATATATATATATATATATATATATATCATCATCATCATCATCATCATCACAGCCCTTCACAAGTCCACTGCTGAACATAGGCCTCCCCCAAGTAATGCCACAAAGCACGGTCCTGAGCCACCTGCATCCATCGACTTCCTGCATATCTTACCAGGTCGTCACTCCATCTAGTGGGGGGTCGCCCTACACTACGCCTACCGGTACGAAGCTGCCACTCGAGAACCTTTCTTCCCATCGGTTATCGGTTCTTCGAGCTATATGGCCGGCCCATTGCCACTTCAGCTTACTAATCCGTTGGGCTATGTCGGTCAATCTGGTTTTACTGCGGATATCCTCATTTCTGAGTCTATCACGCAGAGAAACTCCGAGCATAGCCCTCTCCATAGCTCGCTGAGCGACCTTGAGCATCCTCATACGGCCAGCAGTGAAGGACCACGTCTCTGATCCGTAAGTCATCACTGGCAACACGCACTGGTTGTACACTTTAGTTTTCAGAGATTGAGGTATACCTGACGAGAAGATATGTCGTAATTTCCCGAACGCTGCCCAGCCGAGTTGAATCCGTCGATTGACCTCTCGGTCGAAGTTGGACTTACCTAGTCGGAATATTTGTCCCAGGTAAACGTACTCGTCAACAACTTCGAGCATAGTGCTCCCAACAACTACCGGCATAGGTGTGACATGGACATTAAACATAATCTTTGTTTTGTCCATGTTCATCTTAAGACCTATCCGTTGGGAGGCACTATTGAGGTCATTGAGCATAGTGCTTAAGGCCTCCAGCGATTCTGCCATAAGGACTATATCGTCGGCAAATCGAAGGTGAGTGATGTACTCGCCATTGATGTTAATACCGTATCCTTTCCAGTCCAGTAGCTTGAAAACGTCTTCCAAAGCAGCGGTGAAGAGTTTCGGGGATATAACGTCACCCTGTCTTACACCTCTCTGCAGTAGGATAGGTTTCGAGCTATATATATATATATATATATATATATATATATATATATATATATATATATATATATATATATATATATTAGTAAAATCTCCATTTTTCCTTAACATTTATTTCACCCTAGGCGCGTAGGCACAGTAAATTCCAGTAAAGAACACAGCAGCGACCGCGGCACGCGGGCGTCTCGGCGGCGGAAGTATGTGTACATTTGTTTCGCAACGCCCGCCGCGCCGTACGCCGCATCGGCATCCCGCCGCTCATTTGTGTGTTTTAGGTCGTTGTAGTGTAATGGATCCCATTTTGAACAGCTTTTACGATTAATCGTAAAAGCTGATCAAAATGGGATTCATTTACGAGGATTTTATTTAATAGGTAAGTGTAAATAATCAATCAATCAGGCTACACATCAAGCTATACAAAACCAGTTTGTCTTGGCCTCGCTTTGTATGATCTTTCCGTACCAGGAACGGTCAGCTTATCCTTTAAATGCCCTTTGCGTTCCAGGGCCGCGGCTTCCTAATAAGACAGTCCCGCGACCCCGGCAGACGTTTGTCCCTCTTCCGTCAGTTTGACAACAGCTCTTTGAGGCGCCCGTCGACCTGGGCTTGGTCTTTGATTGGACGGCGAGCTACCCATTGGTTTTGCATAGCTTAATGTGTAGCCGTGTGTGCATAACATTGTGATTAACCTTTTAAATACGCCAAAAATCCTACCCAATGGTTTAGTATTATTAATTTTTCATTTTATTTGCTTACATTAATTTGGACTCGTCACGCAACACAAAGGGTAGGAATTTTTGCCTGTACTAAGAAAAAGTTACATCACAGGTTATGTGTACCTATTGTGTTTTTATTGGAATGTTGTGTAGGTAGCTAGGGCGAACAGTGATCTTAACAGTGATTACGTCACTCGGGCGCATAGGGTACTCATGAATATACGGACGGTGTCGGACAGAAACTTTAAATTTTATGAAAGAAAATAGCGTTTTTTTTAATTCGGATAAATATTTTTAGATTAAAGCCAACTAACTATGGTTTTAGTGACAACGGTGTTTACACTTGCACCTTGTATAAGTTTTAAACAATTTATTGCTTTTTATTTTTATATATATATTTTAGTTTAGTAATTTTTAAACTTAAAAATTACTATAAACAGCAATAAATTGATTAAAACTTGTGTTGTTGATCGTGTTGTTTCGGGTTTGTTTACCAATACCAACACAAACCGTTCGCTCTCAAACAATATGCAAATCGGTCGAGCGACTGATCCGGAGTCTGCATCAGAGTTGTCTATGTCTTGTTATGTTTGTAAAATTGTTCGTTTATTGTATTAATTGTTGTGAGTTTCGTAGTGACAAACAATTATTTTGTGTGCGAATGTGTCTCCCGCAAAAATGACACGACAGTTATGTATCGGGACTATGGCTACGCTCCTCTCGTCAGCTGGTGGCTCGAACTCCGTTTCTGAACAAAGGATTTGCCGTAGCCATGCTTGACAGGACAGAGATTGAAAAGTTGTTATCAGCAAGATGCTCCTGCTCATCTGCCGTTTCTACTTTCTTAAACCTCTTAAAAATCCGATACTACTTTCTTCGTCGGATTATTTTTCCAAGGTAAACGTACTCGTACTACTTTTAAGTAGTCCTTCCAATAACTACCGGCAT